CCCCCCCCCAAGAATACAATGTAGGATGGCAATCATCGGAGCGTCAAGAAAAGTTCAATTGTCAGACAAAAAAGCAGTGTACATCAAGTACTTTAAAAAACTGATGAGATTTATCAAGATGTCAAAGGATTACGAGCCCGCGACGTGCGCCAATGGCCTGCCGCAATGATGCACAGCTTCCGTAGCCAAGAACTTTCGTATTTGAAGTCTTGGTATGGCAGTGCCACAAGCCGGAATCCGGAACAGCATATTAAAGCCGCTGGAAGCCCCACACTTTAGCGACGTATAAATAATTGACTCCGATTTATTCTCATTGTGCAACCCACTCTGAATCTGCCTTATATATTCCTTCCAATTATAAGCAAGGATTCTTACCTACCACCCATTCCAAACCACATTAGAGTCTCTTCGCTCTCTTTTGGCATAGACATCTTAGAGCAGGCGTTCACCAATTTCGCCACTCGTCTCCTAGAACACACAAGCGTATCCCGATATCGTTTGTTTGGCTAATTTATACCCTGACCACATTTACACATCCACGGACCTCTAGTTTTCAGCATGAGCTCCATTTCGCCCGCAGTCAAAATGAACAAGACCACCACTTCTTTGCCTCCTATTTCAGACATTTTCCGGGGCCCTAACATCACGGACCCTTACTACCCACAGCAAGGCTACAGTATGTACGGGGGCATGTCGGTCGTCCCTCATACATATCCGGCCCCCCAGTACCAGCTTGCCACTCCCGAGCAAGTTGCACCGCGGTACTACAATGCCCCTTACACCATTCCCGCTTACGGTTTTGCAGGCAAAACTGGCTATGGTGATGCTCGGGATGCGTGGCGTGGTGGCGTCGACGTCCCTCATCAATTGCCGAGCCCCACACTTTACCAATCACCCGCCCAACTTGGCCATCGCGGCATGTCCATGTCCGTGGGTCTGAGTCCGCTGGATTACGCGGACATCCAGACACTGTCTCGCGAGATGTCGCCCAAGTCACAGCACATGGCCGCTTCGGGGTCCAAGATGAGGACACGCAACAACTTGCCCAAGGAAGTTACCAGCGTTTTACTCAAATGGTTGAATGAACACTTGAATCATCCATACCCCAATTCATTTGAGAAGGCGCAGTTGATCATCGCCACAGGCTTAAACCAGCAGCAGTTGAGCAACTGGTTCATCAATGCCAGGAGAAGAAAAATCAAGTCGTTGCGTGAAAAGCGGGACTCGCAATCTTCTTGAATCATGTGATTTGCCGCTTCAGCGATGCCCGCAGTGTGTTGTATTCTTAGTGCCTCGCGAGCGCCAACGCTACGTGGTGTCCTTGGTCTACATGCTGGTGTCGCCTTTCTACAAACGATAAGCTAACATACTTTATAATAAATTATTGGGACGGTTCAATTCTACTTGTACTTTGGATCTTTTCCTGGGGTCCCTGAGCCCTGATGCGAAATCAAGACTTTTCTTCGTAGAGCAGTTGAAATAGATCTACGGCTGTGTAGATCACACCCGTGATTTGAAAAGAAAAGAATTGCTGCAGCACAAAAATCACATGATTTCCTTCCTAAGTAATTGGGCCTTGGCAGAGATCCAATCAATTCCCAACAAAGTGCGCCAATACAATTCTCGGACAGATGGACAACCACCAGCTTTTCCCGAAAGGAAAATTGGCTTTTGCGCGACGCTGCATATAGTCACGTAGCTTGCATATCTTGTTTCCACTGATGCAGGAGCGCCTTCTTCTAGGAAGGCCATGGATGGACCGCATGGATTAGAAGCCCGGGGAAGGGAGTTACCAGCTCAAGCGACAGGCTAGTGGGGGGCAAATATAACAACGAGGATGATAGGCCGGTTTCAACCCGCTTCCAATCCTTTGCGATTACGCTGCCTCGATTTGTTACTGATTTCAAGTACCGGTGTTTGTTTGCGAAGGCCCCTGGCACTAAAAGAATGGTTTGGGGACAGTCTGTGATATACGGCAGGTATAGGCTGAAGTAAGGCTCGTAATTCAGGGGCATTTGGGTATGCATTCCAATAACCTTATCACGTGGTCCAAAAAGAAGTGCGATCTACTACGGATAACTACCTCGCTGCGCAAGATGTAATCTCGGCCGCAATTACTGGATGTTAAGCGAGCTAATTCTCAGTGCTCGCCCAGATCGGGTCGAGCGTCTCGTCACGTGAGCAGGGTCGAAGTACCCCGTGTGGATGGCTGGGAGTCCCATAAAAGAGGATTGGCAAAGATATGTGGAGAGGAGGGCCAAGGCGCCTGCACTGCCAAGACAAAACGGTATGTGGTTATGGCTGGATATTGATCCAAGCAGGTTATGGAGATGATTCTCCGCAAGTGCGGCGAAAGCGGCGTTCTATGCCGTATGATAATACGAGGATTAGCCGAATCATGCACGCTCACGAATACGAGGAAAGCTGGAAATGTAATAAGTGTCAAGGCAAAGAGAAAAGCCAGCAAACAAGGGGAATCTTCTTGTGCTGATTTCTTTATTTTGTTGGTCACGCTTGGAACTGGTCGCTTTTCGGATGCATACCTCCAAAGAGAACTCGGCAGGAATGCTTGATGTTTTTGTTCGTAGTGCACTGTCACGCATGCGATACATTTCACCGCAAAACAATCGCCTTTCCTCTTCCGCGCCACGGCCTTCCCTCATAGGCAGCAGCTAGAAAATCATTGATGGAGCGTGATGTGAGCTGGAAATGGTCCTTTAGCAAAAAAAAATTGTTGTTCGCCAAGGGAGCTTGTTGGAGTAGTGGAGACTATTAGGGCAGCTGTGGCTAAGTAATACTCGATGCTAAATTCAATTGCTCTTCTTGTTTATTGAGTGTGACGCTTTTGGTTGGCTGGAAGCGTGGATTGGCTGACTCTGATGCGACTCGTTCTGCCAGTTGCTCTAGTTCCCTCTATCCATCATTTGCTCGATGCTCGCTCTGCGGTATGCATGGTTGTGTTTTTAGGGCAGTATCCAACACTCCGTAGATTGTGTCAACTAGAATCATATCGAACCTCGGCTTTTCCAGTGCTGTGGGATTATCATTGTGACGGGCCTTGAGTAGCCGGAGCTTGTAGTACCTCATTTGGTTCTCAATTTGTGAAGAGCCGTTCACAGACTGTGTTTCTTTATTGATATTTTAGTCGCATTGAGTTCTTTGGGTCTTTGTGGATTGGAAGAACAACTGGTTCGTTGGGCTGGATCTGCAGAATGGGCCCTCAGTTAGTGAGGGCAGAATTGAAGAAGTTATGTGACAGTTGATTCACGAAACTTGTAGGCAGACCTAACGACCAAAGCACTTATCATTATATTCATCCAGTAGTTCTGGGGCTAACGGATGCATAGAACTGATGGGCCCTGAGAGCTTGAAAGCCCATGTTACACAGCTAATATAGCCCAATTTAAGATGTGCAAGCCACATATACCCGCATTTCATATCGCCCACAGATATTCAGAATGTTCCAGTCACAAGATCTCGAGGTAAACTCTGTATCGGTCCGGCCCTTGAAACTCCAAGCTCCTTGTATATTAGTCCTCTATCACATAAGATATTCTACCAATACTAGGACTGGGTTGTACGAGATATAAGTACTCTACTAAACACAAAACAGCAGTACTGTATCTCACGAGGGATTTGTACCATACTGCACGAGATACTAGTACTGTGTTGGACTAAGTGGAGGTACTTGATTGGTATTCGAGTACTTGCGATAATGGGAAGTTACCCAAGATGACTGCTCTGTTGCGTCGAACACCACTGAGATTTTTGCTGTCTTGTTCACCAATGACAGTCCTCAACTATATAATCCCACCCTTCCTGTCATATAGTTTGTCCATGTACTTGCATAAGAAATATTCTCTCAAACTACTAAAAAACCTCTTGCCGTTCTATTTCTGTCGGGATCCTTACTCAGTGTCACGACAAGGGCAAACCGTGCCACGGGATCGCGTCCTTTATCTCAATGGTTTTGGTGCTCATCCCATGAAAAAATGAAGCTTGAAAAACACATCAAAGTTTTTTGGAGCATACAAATTTATTCTTCTGGTGAAGACTTTACATACCACTTTTCGACAAGACATGAAGCGCTTTGGGGAAGAAAACAATTAACATGCAAACGGCGATGGATTTGCTGCAAATTCTTCACGTCTTCCGAAATTAGCACTGCATGAAAATGAGCCGCAACAGAAGCTCTTGACGCACCAGAGGTATTTATCATACATCGGTGTCGTTCACGTGGCAGCTCTCACAATTCCCCATTTCCATGTGGTTAATTGTGTGCGATGTCGATATTTTTTACAAGAGATACCAAAGCTCGACCGTGGAGATTGGTGAAGATGGTACTCGACCCTGAAGATAGTACTCGACGGTGAAGATATTGGTGCTTGACTGTGACATTAGTACTACATTGCATAACATACTGGTACTCGACCGTGAAGATATAAATACTACACTACACATTGGCACTGTATTCCACAAGATACTATTACTTGACTGCGAAGATAATAGTACTCAAATGTGAAGGTAATACTTGACTGCGAAGGTAGTACTTCAATACACAATATATTGGCACAGCGTTGCCAAATCCTGCCACTAAATCAGCCCTGACCAGAAAACTACTAGGGCTCCGAGGGCAATTATCAATACTCTACTAGCCAATACATCAGTACTCTGTGTCTTGTTCCTGTAAGCGCATATATGACTATATGCACTCTCATTACTGTGAGTTCCGTCAGATATCATTCTAGACAACACATAGGATATTGTCTCGAGTTCTAGGGGTTCCATTCACGTGAACTCTGAATTCAGTATATGAAGGTGGAAGAGAATTCCGGTAGAGCTTCAAGAAAACCAGTGATCAAATAGTATTACATAACCCGTATGACCCGTGAAGTCCGTAACACTCTTCCACGAAACGCAGTTCTATTCGCCAACATGCCAGTGCTTAATTGTGTGTGGTGTCGATAATTCCTGCACGAGATAAAACCCGACCGTGAAGATATTGGTGTTTGACTGAAGATGGTAAGCGACTGTGAGGATAATAGTAGTTGACTGCACAAAATACGGACCCTGCATTCCGCAAATAATGGCCCCGACTGCGAAGATAATAATACCAGCCGGTGAAGATATTATTACTCGACGGTGATGATAATAGTACTCGATGGGGATGATAATAGTATTCGAAGTTGAAGATAATATTACTCGACGATGAAAATAATTGTACTTGACTGTGAAGATAATCGTACTCGACGATGAAGATAATACTCGACGGTGAAGATAGTGTACTCCACTCCACGATATAGTGACACTCTGCACAAGATACGAACGCTCGACTGCGAAGGTCCTCCAATACAGTGACTGCGCTGCACACGTCCTGCCACTACAGCCACACCAAACCACACAAATACCACGGCCCCACTAAACACCCGTACCCTTTCACACCTGTGCCCTTTCACACCAGTGCCCTTCTACACCAGTGCCCTTCCACACCCGTGCCCTTTTGCAAAACACTGAACCTCTGATCCCAGCAGCCCGCGCCCGCACGACCATGTCACGTGGTAGCCGCCATGTACCCCTCACGTGGCAAGGGATAAAACTTCCGTCCAGGCAGAGTTTTCTTCCTTCTCTTTACCCCAGGATTTCGAAAATAGCACTCGAATGATCCCAGGTTCCGCACATCCTTGAATTGAGTATTCTGCTACTGCAAGACCAGGGCCGCGCAGAACAGCCGCGCGCGCTGTGTGCAGTGCGCCGGCCTCAGAAGATGCCCAGCGCTCGCAGGCCCTGCCCTAGTGTTCTTCTTAGAACATCGGCAAACGCCCCACACCCGCCCCCAACACCCCACCCTACCCCCGCCGCCACGCGCCCAGATGCCCACGTCCACATCCGACGCGCTCGTGGCCATCGCCGAGCGCATTCTCGGCCAGGTGGCCGGGCTCTCCACGGCCGAGATCTCCAAGCGCGGGCGCAAGTACCGCTTTGTGAACAAGAACTTCCAACGTGTGCGCGAGGAAGACAAGCATTTGACGGTCTGCCCGGAGCGGCCGCAGGACCATGTATCCGTGGTGCTGGCGCACGGCATCCTCGCGGCCATCCGGGCGGACATCTTCGACACCCACCCGGACCTCTGCCTCATGATCATAGGCGTGGCGCGGGCGCTCGAGGAGAACCACTGGTACGAGGAGGAAAACTCGTCGGTGGTGCACTTCGACGTGCAGCGGCCCGCGGTGGCGCCGGGCCAGGCGCAGGCCGCCGTGCGCTTTGCGGAGCGTGTCACGGACACCCACTTGGCGCAGGGCTACAACGTGCTCTACTGCGCCAAGTTGAACTTCCTCCACACGGACCACCACGTGGGCTCGCGGCTCGAGGGCGCGTGCATGCGCGAGTACGTGGCGCGGTACTTTGGCGCCGCGGCGCTCGAGCTGCCGGACGTGCTCGCGGCGCTCAAGAGCTTCTCGCACTGGGCGCACATCAAGGGCCTCCTCTACCGGCTAGGGCTCCCGCACATGGACGTGGACGACGCGTTGGCGCGCCGCTTCGCCGCGTTCCCGGCCCCGCCGCCGGACCTCGCGGCGTACGTGCACGCACGCAGCCCCTCCGGCACGTCCAGGTTCGCGTTGGTGTGCAAGGCCCTCGACCACCTTGCCCAGTACAAGTACGCCCGCTTGGTGCCGTACCCGCACGGGCCGCTTTTCGACTGCCGCTGGGCCTTCGCCTTGTGCGCCGACATTGCGCGCGACCCGGCCCGGTACCATCTCCGGGCCAAGGCCAAGAGGTTGTCGCGCGACCCGGCCAACCTCCCGGAGTTGGCGCAGCGCTGGGGCGGCCACATCGACGCCTTGTTGCTGGCGGTGTGCTTGGTTCTCCACGTGTTCCCGGACACGGCCGGCGAGTGCTTTCTCCACAGCCGCGTCCCGCTGTTCTCGGACGCCATGGTCGCCCGGCACGCGGACTACTACCAGCAGTTGCTCGCGGTGGCCCGCGAGATCGACGACTACGAGCGCAAGGGCTGGGCGCCCGAGGACATCGTGCTCCGCATGCACAAGGCGCACGTGCCCAGCTGGCACGACGAGGTCGCGCGGGCCAAGAACCACGCCTGACGGGCGGCGGCCGCTCTGCGTGTCGCGGGCTGTGTCCTCTCGCCACTCGCCCGTGCAGATGGTGTTGCCGTGCTTTGTTCTGGACGCCAGGCTGTTTCGGTGCCATGACGGGCATCGGCAGTCCCGGCAGCGACCCTGCCGTGGCAATGCCAGCGTGGCTCTATGCTCGGCTTTATCAGCGTGGCCTTATGCTTGGCTTCTGCCACCTGGCTTTGCTCGACTATTGGCATTGTGGCTTTCTGCTTGGCTTCTGCCACCTGGCTTTCGCTCGACTTTTGACACCGTGGCTTTATACTCGGCTTCTGTCAATGTGGCTCTACACTCGGCTTCTGCTCGCCGCGCCGGATTCGGTGGCTGTGCCTCGTTCACGTGGGCGGCGCAAGTCTCTGGCGCCTGGCCCGTGGCCCCAAAGGACTGTCGGGCTGACCCCGTGTAGAATGCACCATGGGGAAGAAATGGTCTTGCGGCGCTGCCGTCATGCTTGGCAAACACCGGCTGTCTGGGGAAGAGCTGCTGGGTGGGGAGAAGCTGCTGGGGCTCCACACGCCTGGCACCAATGGGCGGTCGCCTGTGCCCTGGTGCGTGCTATATATGGCCACATGCCTTTGGCATGTTAATACATAGGGATCATTGATGCAAAGAACACACCACAACGCGGAAAGAAGCACCAAGCTCGTCTTGGGCATCAATGTGAAGGTCTAGCTAGGGCATGGACCCGGCTTTTCAACCGCAATATTCAGAGAAAATAGGGCTCCAAATACTCAGCCCAGCAGCTTGCATCCACAGCACAATTCGTCTGAGTGCGCCGGAAGCTAAACGCATCAAGCACAACGCATCTCATTTCACCAGACCAATTTTCCAAACCCATGGCATCACACTATAAACGGCCAAACTACAATGTACCAAACTACAATGTACCAAACTACAATGTACCAAACTACAATGTACCAAACTACAATGTATCAATCTCACAGCACCAAACTATAAAGTTCCGAACTACAATGTACCAAACTACTATGTACCAATCTTCAATGCACCAGAAACCGTACGGCTTGCCGTCTATCCAATCAAAGTATATCTCCCCAGTTGCCATAAATCAGTGTCGGAATAAGCCACCTTGCGCCTGCGCACGGGTGACACCTGCTGTTAGAGGAACCGTCTGCTGATTTGGTCGTGTATACTAGTGTTAGCGGCTTGTCGCGGCTATTGCCTCTTTCGGACATACGGGTCCGCGGGCGATCCCAAGAACCAATATAATCCAATGCCTTGATCAATGGTACCGTGCCTGCACCCTTATCTCCTCTCCTGCTCCAATCACAGCCCCAAAAAGAGAAAAAAGCGAAAGAAGAGAAAGCGAAAAAAGAAACACGCATCGGCCGCTCTTGTTCTCAATTGTGTCAGAGCCTTTCGCTCGTGTGAATCCTGCACCCGGGCGGGGAGCGCTTAGATGCCCATCTAGATTTGATCATTCCCAATAACAGGTACTTAATTGGATACTAATCCCACCTCCTGGTCCTTGGACTTATCCAGTCACAAGATCGTTTTTTTCGATTTTCTGGAATTTCTCACAGAAACCCAGCTCGCCAGCAACTGCCCGCCCCGCCAGCCTCCCACATCCACATCAGTATATGACGAAATCCAAAGAAAACCCCCACGATTTTGTCTTGGAGCAGGTCCACGATAAGAAAACACGTGACTACACTCGTGAGCGGAACGCGGCGGCATGGAAAAACCTTCTTTCGGTGCAAGCCTACGTGACCCGAGAACACGTGTTGGGCTTGTCGAAAATCACGTGTTCCGACCCCAACAGGCTCGTTGTGTTCGCCTTGCGGGCCAAACGGCCAAATGCAGATATTCTCTGCTCGTGTGAGCTCTTAATCAGACAATCCTGGAGGTACGAAAAAGACGCCTGCGGGAACGTCCAGCGAAAAGACGTGTTGAGCGGCTGTATAGGAGGAGTGTATACATACGAGGAACACAGGGGCCGTGGTTTGGCCACCATCATGATCGACAAGTTGGTCGAAACGGCAAAGACTGACGCGTATCTCGGCCCCTCCGGCTTTACTTTCCTATACTCCGAAGTGGGCGAGTTCTACGTGCGGAACGGCTTCAAGTCTTTCCATGTGGATTTGCTCAATCTCCCGCTCTCGTACACAGGGCTGAAACACGTGTTGCAGCCTGGATATGAGCTAGTCAAATACAATGAGTTTGGCGATTTGTTTGAGCGCTACAACCAGCATTTTGACCGTGATATGAGACGCCAAGTCCAGGAGGACGGGCTCGTTCGGATCTCGGTCAACCCCACAGCCGACTATGTCGACTGGTTCCACATTCGAGCAAAGTACTTGGGGCTCACCTTATTTGGAGACAATGCGCCAGGCATCGACTTCCACAAAGAGTCCTTGGACACGCTCGCCTCCAAGTTCAAGGCCACAGAGCCGATGTATTTCGGCATCAAGTCCGTATGTCCCCAAACGGGCAGGTTGCGGGGGTTTCTTGTGTGGCAGTACGAGTACGGCTTCAACGAAAACGAGAACCGTTTTGAAAACTACGTGACTCTTGTCAAAAGCTTTGTCGGCGACGACGCCTCAGACCCCGATAAGGTGGCCTTGGCACTCATTGAGCAATTGAAGGCTTACTTGGAGGCTGAGCACAGCACGCCACAAATGTCCAACTTCCACAAGATCGTGATGTGGGAGTCCGAGATATCTCCGGCGGTCAAGACGTCTTTGATCAACAAATTCAACTGCACTCATGGGCTCGAGAATTCTTCCAGAAGCGCCATTCTCTACAATAACGAAGCCGACGATGAGAAGTTGAAGCTGGGCAGCATGATTTGGGAGAACAACACCAAGTTGCCGTGGTTTTGAAAGCCTGGCGCCTCGGTTTCAAATAATAAAACGCCTAATACTCCTCCACCACACATGGCAATCGTTTAATTCTCAATCGTATCTGCCTCAAGTAGAACTCATTTTTCTTGTCGTCATCGTCCATAGTCCCGTATGTCCCGTCTAATTAGGCGGCTGCGTCAAAGCATGGTTTATTCCCAATGGTGAGCACTTTTCTTCATCCATATACTCAAATGTGGTACGTTCTACTGACGCAAGAAACCCTTTCCTTGTTTCCCGGAAAATTCAAACAATGAACAATTATCACACTGTAAGGGCAGTGGAAAAGCCAATATTCCTCTTCAGGTGTTGTGCCCAACGCTGCGCACGTGACCTGTCTCCATGAAAATGATCTCGTGTCCCTCCCAAGACCAGCCAATCCACCAGATATTGCACTCTTCACACAATGGAACTTCTTCCTCAGGGTCAAGCAAATACCACAGAGGTTTTGTGGGAGGACCAGCAGAAAATAAACGAGTTTTCGTCTCTAATCAACAAAAAAGACACGTTGGCCGACCAGCTCGACACATACAAAAATGAGAAGGAATATATCGATGATCTAGCCATGGAGATCGAACTTTTGGACGACGAAGAAAAAATACAGTACAAGATTGCAGATGCTTTTGTTTTCGTCAGCGTCACGAAAGCTGTGGAGATGATCGAGAAGGAAAACGAGCTTTTGGATTCCAAGATCTCTCTAATTTCGGACCGCATTGACGATATCGACTCTCAGTTGTCGATGTTAAAGGCACACTTATACGGCAAGTTTGGGAAAAGCATCAATCTCGAGCGGGATTAGACTTCTGTCTTGATGAAGAAGGGGACATTCAAGCGGATACCATGGCTGAGATACATAGGAACTGGAATACTACAATAAGAGCTCAAATTCAAGACATGTTTCATTCAAATATCACCAAATAGCTGCTGCACGGCGATACTTAACAGGGTGCCTGGATCACAGCATCCAGGTTGGGAACGCTTCATTGACTGTGAGTACCAATATAGGTTTCCACGCACTCTTGATCATAAAGTAAAGTAAAGCTAACAAATATGACAGTCAGACATGAGTCTCTCTGTGTCATAGGTTTGCGTAGCCGTACTTCAGAACAAGAAATGATTTGGGAAGCTCCCGTTAGGTGTGCTGCTCTGTGACTAAGCCATGCACGAAGACAGTGGAACAATGGGCGTTTCGGGGATATCAGGGAACTCCGATTGACATCTGCATACATGAACATGGCCATGTGGAACAGGAAGCTCGTAGGATAATCTGCTGCCTATAGGGCCGGTACTAAGGACCAATGATTCCAACACGTATCCTGGACCGATTTCAATTTTGATCAATGGGCTTTCTGAGAGCCCCATAATAGAGACCTTTTCTAAGGAGTATACAAAACTCCTCGTGGCATTGAGGGAAAAATCAAAATCAATTGCATTTCCATCTCCTAGCCCTCCTACTTTGATGACCGGTACGGATGGTAGATCTTCATCCACCCCAGTGATTCTGAACACCGAGCCGGGGGATTCTAAAAGGAAGGTTTGATTTTTTGCAACAGAGTGACCACCTGCAAAATTCAAGTCCAATATTGAGCCATGGTCTACTTTTATACAGCCATCACCCAAAATACTTGTTGATGTTTGCCAAAAGGTATTGTACAAGCAAATAGATCCGTCATTTACTATGGTTGAGGGGCGTTCTCCAGATGCGCCCAAAATCAACGAGGCCGTGGACACAACTTCTTTTCGAAAAACCATCATGCCCTGATTTCTCCATCCCGCCTCTGACGTTACAATAAATGGAGATATGTCATCAGGGGCACTGGAAATACCAAAGAACATTTCACCACTATTGGAGAAATATGCTTTAGGCGCGATGTGGTAAGTGGAATGATCCCCTTGGGACAGGAAAGAGTTGAATGAGATAATTCCATGGTTTTGGAAGTCTTGCCCTATCATTCTCACCGACACACCATTGGTGTTCGTGACGTAAAGATCACCTTCATTAAGTACATAGTGCCCTAAATCAACATCCATGCAGTTCACAATCGAGAGATAGGCCCTCTCAGCTATGTTGAGATTATCAAAAAGTAAATTTGGCTCTGTTTTCGTTGTGTTACTTCGAATATACACTGCAAATACCAGACTCAACAAATAAAAGACCACAGTCGTCACGCAGGTGTTTAGTTTCATGGTGTATGTATATTAAATGAGATAGTGGCGCTCAGCTTACCGATGATAGTTCAAGTAAGAAAAATAGATCTGATTTCAAGCTTTTATTCATCATTCAAAACGAACTTTGGCCCTGGTTTTATGGCCCACAATTTAGACGGGGCCATTTGCGTGACCTGAAAACAATAGATTCTTCAAAAATAACTGCGCATTTATTCAAAATTGAATAGATACCTACGTGAGCAGGAAGCATTTTGTAACGTTCAGAAATGGCGCTGGCATGGGAACACTTAACATGTAAGGTCCCTAGTGTCCGCCTATGTCCCGTGAAGTCCCTAACATAACAACTTTTAGTTCTTCCGCACATTTTTTTTTGCTTGCCCATAAGGGTATTTCCTGTGTAATTCGTGACCTCTTGAAAACCGTGCAGAAATCCTGAAGATGACGTTATATTGTAATGTGACAATTTGAAATTTGCGGGAACTACAGCTGATTTGAAATGAAAATGCGTGGATAAACACAGCAGAAAGAATACTGCTCTAATAATAGCTAAGATGATAGTTCTTGCTACGATATAGTTTGACACTGTCGAAAAAAATCCAGATCCTGTCAAACCCTGTAATGCTTATCAATACTAGTACTAGTTTTCCGAGGACAAGTCCCTTAGATACCGGGAATACTCAGTCCTGTGACTGGATTCTCCTATATTTCATCTGTGAGCATACATAATACAGTCCACTGTTTTTGATGATTTTCAGGCTCTGGACGATGACCACATATGTTAAGTGTATTGAGTCAAACGCGTTCTATCCGGATCTCTGTGAAGATGAACACGTTGTCACGTTCGAATTGGTAGTCTCTCCTAATATTGAGTGACTACCCAATGTACTCAGAGTTTCCAAAATCAAGCACTAAATATACATTTCCTATCTGCGTACATCTCAAACCCCAGAGCAAGCTATACAAAAGTCAAACGGGTGTTGATAAAGGTGCACCATGCTCAAATATCTGGGTCCGGAGATGGGATCCTTTTTTTTTTTAATCACTGGGAGGTATCACCGATGAGCAAAGCTATTTTTCTGGAAAAAAATTGTTAATTTTTATGTATTTCATGTGTTTCCAAGTGGACCCAGAGTCACGTATACTCCCACAATAATTGCTAAATATTTAGAATGAAGTTGACTCAGTACCTAAGCCGGCAGCCAAAGACTAGGGCCCCAGAAATGTCTTGAGATCAATATTCAAGTTAGTTTTGAATTAAAAAGCATAAAGGGAAAAAGATTGGGAAACAGGTCGACACACCAGAGCGGAGAAGTCAGTCATATTTGTCTGCGACTAGGGCTGGCTACATATAGTAAGTCGCGCGGGCTTTCATCACAATCTTTCGTTGCACAGACAAAATCAGGTGATTCGTATGAAGATTTCAAAATATCACTTGGATGCCCTCAAAGGTCTTTGAGGATTGCTGAAAGATGTACCATTCTATGAACTAGCTCCAGACTTCCTTCTCAACACTTATTGCATACTTTGCAAATGTCTTAAATGCATATATAATCATTCACACCGTCAATAAAGCCTGCGAACAAACCTAGCTCATTACAGAGAAGGTATGGAGTCAAGTTTCGCTTCATTTTCCAAAGCAGTATCTTGGCGGAATATCTAATACTGGCTGCCATCTACTCCAGTTCGCTTTCTTCTTCATAATCTGGCATCATTTCTTGAAGCATCTCTTCTTCTGAGACTTTCCGTCTCTTTGGGTGTGGTTGTTCAATGTCTTCTTGTCTTTGACGAGGCTTGTTCTCTATTGGGTGTTCGCTGGTTCTTTTCAGGGGCTCTGGGATCTGTGGGCCCCTGGTCTTGTGCATTCGCTCGGCCTCTCTTTGTTTGCAGGCTTTTTCTATTACTGGGCAAGCCTCCACGAGCTCCTTTTCAGTCACACCATCTTCAATACTATGAATAATCTTCTCCACCACCGAGAAATGGTTTCCGTTCGATTTGTCATCTCTAAACCGAAGCATCTCCCAGAACGGTGGTTTGCTCAATTTCTTGCGGCATTCAACTATGCGCCCCTGAAGGGGTTCTTCTATGGCCTTTAACTGTTCCCAGTCATCCTCGGGAAGGTCAAGCTGGGCAAAGTGTTCGTAATCTCGCCCACCTTTCCAAACATGTAAGTTGATTTCTTCTGGAACGCTGTCATAATCTGGGTACGTTGAATCTGGGTCGCGTGAATCCATGTCTGGATCCTGGTACATCTTGAAAATCAACTCCATCTTGAAATCAACAGTGTTTTCGTGCGCCGGCTTCCACTTTAGCAATGTAGCATCAGTTCCAAACACGTATGGGGTCTCAGCGCATGTGAAAATGAGGCCATCGGTTTCGTGGAACAAGTGGTCTTGCATAGACAAGACTACGTCAGCTCTGTAGGACAGCTTCATCATTTTGAAACTGACTTTGAACGGGAATTCAGGCGAGTTTACAATTTCAGGGTTTCTTTTCTTGAAGCTGTCAAACGGTTTCATCACATTCTCTGTGATGTAGCCGAGTCTCTTGGGTAGCGGTCGGTTGGTGATGTCTTTTTCGTGTATGACAAGCGCATCAAAAATGCAGTATCGGAGAAATGGCTCCAGGACGTTTTTCGTCTCCATCACCAACTCACCATCAAGAACAGTGCCATGATGATATGTGCGTCCTTTCTCTTCGTCCGCCAAAAGCGGGAAATGGATATTTGGAATGAAGTAGTATTCGTTCTCTCGAGTTATTAGAAACACACCCTCGCCACGAACAGGATCGTTGATAAGAAAAAGCAAACATCTCAAACCATCGGACTTTTCACACACAAAGTATTCTCGCCTTTTAAGAACTTCAATGTGATTTCTTTCAAAGGAAACCGGCTGAGATCCCGGGAATTGAGTACTTTTTCTTCGAAGCAAATCTGCCAACATGAGCCTCAATTCTTGTAGCTCTTCTCCTTCGATTTTGGTGCCCGGAATCACCGGCATATCACGGTTTCCCAACTTCAACATTTTACAGTTGAACAAGGTAATGGGCTATCGGTGAGTGCGAGAGAATGTGAACGTCAGGTCCGCTAGCCCACAAAATATATGCTAGAGCCGTTGAAGAAACAAAAATAAGGCACGCAGTGCTTAAAGATGAATTCAAGTTTTGTGAAGCCTTTTGAAGTCACGGTTATGTTCTTTAATACAAGTTGTTTTTTCCTACGTTTCCGTTCGCGTTGAGTTCGAAATTCCGCTACATGGAAAGGCGGTATATGCACGCGAAAAAACATCTATTCGAGGAGATCTCCCAAGGTGATCCCTGACCTGCCCTGGGGTTGTCTAGTCAGCTTCAAAGGCACGTAATCCAAGTGGTCCTCCATGTCCTCGATTCCATAATGATCGCCGCGAATAGGTCTGCTGAGCTCGGACATGAATTTATCACCCTCAGGTTCCCCATACTTGGGATCTCTGTCGGTGCCAAGTATGTGACATTTTTGGCACGCATACAACACCTTCGGAAATTTCGAGTTGTAATCACAGTCAATCCCCGCCTTAGCTGCTGCCAAAACACCACTGCTTCCATTCATGGCTTTTCCCGAGGAGCCGTGCTCTTGCGGGGGGAGTCTTTCTGCTTGACTCTCCGTATCATTCAAAGGCCACCATTTTGGAGATGATGGGACGTTGCAAAAATGGCACAGAACTCTCGAGCTATCCCTTTCTTCCACGCCGCTTGTTTTTCCACTTCTCCTATCAGCTTTCTCCATGACTGTAGTAATCATGGAAATGTAGTTGTGCGCTCGCAATTGAGTACCACTCAACCGATGGCCTTGCCTCATAAGATCTTCAATGAAGAGCTGTATCAAGGGTTTTGACTCGCCAGATGGTGATCGTTTCCCCTGGTCCCTAATCTCCAAGATGTTACCCTTCTGTTCATGTTTCGGACATATCAAAATAGGCTGCAACTTACCGACTTGGTCCCGCACAAAAGTATTTGTGCTCGACCTGTTAATCTTTTGGGGGACTAGTTTAAACCCGAGTTTGAAGTTAGGAGTGTCCTGGGCACATGTGACATGAAACGCGTTGTCTTCGGTTTCACACATGTCGCACTTTATGAGCCCGCCATTGAAGCAATTGCATATTCCACAACGTTTGTCAAAGTTCTCCACGAACACTTTCGAGACACTTTCGATCAAGCAACCGATACTCTTTGTACTCGTTGAGCCAAGAATTTCCTTGGCGACGAAAGTAGGAGCCAGAACATGCCGAAATGCAATTTGATCATGGCAGTACAAGGCACAAATCATATGACACCATCGCCCGGTTTCGATGATGGGTAGTAGATAGTCTGGTCTCTCCAGAGGTTCACCGAGAATAGCCAGTTCTGCATTGGTGGATTTTGCAAGACATATACTGCATGAGTAGTTGGTGCTGAATTGGGGGCCCATATCATTGACGCATGGGTCACAGAGCCATTGTCTCACAGGTTTGACCTTCCCAGAAACAATTATGCCAGCACACGATCCATGAACATTCACACCGCAATTTGAACATATGAGCATCTCTTGAGATGAGGAGTCCAAGTTATCATGCTCTAAGCAAATAGAGCAGTTGCGGTCATTTGGTGCGAAAGGCACATCAATCTTTGCTTGTTGAGGTGCCTGCCATCCTTGGATAATCAGTTTCATATCCAGAAGCTGGCGATACTTGAAGTTGTCTAAAACTTGCGTAAGGGTATCCTTATCCAATGGCGGGAGGCTCTTTTTATCGTTTCTCGAAGCAGAGAGGGAATCCTCAAGCTTAAGTTGGTAGTTAGGATTGAACAACGGGGATACCAAACTCGTAGTATCTGTGTTTTTTCTTTGACGCCTCACGGGCGCAGCCTTGGGGTCGGTTTTGGAATCGGACAGCTTTTCCGCCTTCACTGTCTCTTCGGGTTCATTCTTCACACTTGTTTCATGTGCCAGCGAGATGCTAGGGCTCACTTTATTTTTCTTCGCTTTCGTGCTGGGTTCGGTCTTGACGGGAGCCTGCCGTTTCTTTGGGCGCTCAGGCTTCGCCGTTTCCGAGGAAAGCTTTGGTTCAACTTTTCTCTTTTTGATTGCACTCTTATTAGGTCCTTCCTCCGGTGAAATCTTGCCAGCGGCTTCTGTACTTTCCAGATTGTGTACATCGGGGGCCGTCTCAGTGCTGGTGGTCTTTCGTTGTCGCGGGGTCGACTTTGTGCCATTTGAAGGCTTCTGTTTCGGTTTCGTGGCAGGCTTGATCTCTTCTGCAACCGCTTTCGGGGTCAGTGTGATTTGTGCCGGAGGCTTCAGAAGGCCATTTATCGACTTTGATTGGCTGGTGGTGTGCATCACGCTGCATTCATGTTGTTTTCTGGTAACTTCGTACGATAAAGCCAGGCCCTCATTCCGAGCGTGGAGGAGAATCTTCTCTGCATCAGCAACAAGCTCTGATTCGACCTTTTTTCTGTACCCACCGACGCCTTTGGCGATTTTCTTTTCCACTTCCAATGGGTCTTCCCAGTACACGGCATACCTTCTCCAGATCTTTGCGCATCGGAAACAGAGGGCGGTGACACAAGAAGGATCAATATCATCGACCTCAGATGCGTCAGTGTGTACGGTTGTGCCATCGAAGCCAGTAATCTTGAACCATTTCTGCGAGGTGTACGACTTGCAATGCTTGCACTGGAAAGGCTTTTTCTTGACGATGATCTTTTCGTTTTCGTAGGCCGAGTCATCGTCGGAGTCGGCGTAGTCGTCCACTATGGGCGCCACTCTCATTTCCGGTTCTTTGGTGGGTTTCTTTTTCCTTCCCGGGAAATTGCCCCAGATCAAGTGGCCTCGCTTGGTCTTCTTCCATATGTAGTAGAACCTGACGACCATGGACGTGGGCTGGGTCCTAACCTCCTTAGAGACGGGATAAAGTTCACTGCCATGCTTCTTCACCCCCGCCTCGAATCGCTTGACCTCCTCTTTGTTGAGAGTGGGCTCCTTGAGGGAGGCCCGCGTCAAGCGAGAGACAATCTCCGAAGCCTTCTGCGTGTTGCCGTTACAGCACATGTACGCATGGGCCACCGCGTCGGCGAAGTTGGGGGAGTTTGGGTGGATGCCTAGTCTTGCAGCGACCGGATCCTGGGTAGCCACAAAGGCGTCTAGGGACTTGAAGTTGTCCGCGAAGTCGGTCTGGGAAGCCTTCCACATGAGGGTGCACGTTTCCCCTGCGCCATCGTCGACTCCGCGCTCGATGTACCCTTTCGGGCGGGGCTGGAGCCACAGGGGGAAATCCTTCGGGGACACGCCCTGGAACTCTTTTGGGATGGGCAATGCCTTCACGGAGGCGGCCTCGGGCTTCTTCTTGGCAGGCCGCCTGCTGCTGGAAGGCTTCTTTTTGTTCTTTTCTGCGGGCGACTTGTCCGGGTCGTAGTAGACGATCGGATGGGCTGTGCACTCAGGGATGTTGGAGACCTGGTAGCGCTGGCCTAGGGACGTGGACGCGCGTGGGTAGTATGACCTGTCATAGGGGTCCACGGCCTCCTCGAGCCGGGCGTGGAGCCCCAAGTAGCGGATGTTCCATTCTTCCTTGAGCCGGCGCTCGAGCACCGAGACCAGGGAGTCCTTGAGCAAGTAGTCGGTGGCCATGAGCTCGTACTTGGGGAGCGTGACGTGGGGCTTAGTCGGGGAGCTGGGCTCCGGGTCGTCGTGGGCCAGGCGCGGGTCGGGCGCGGACGAGAGCTCGTCGGCGTTGGAGGAGCGGTTGTCGTGCGCGAGCATCAAGATCTTCTTGCTCTGGTGCTCCAACTCGTGCTTCTTGGAGCAGCGCGCGCAGGACCAGCTGAAGCCGCGGCTGGGCTTCTTCAAGAGCGGCGGGTCGAGGCAGAGCATGTGGAAGTGCCTGGCGCAGGAAGCGCAGGCGACAGCGTCCGCCAGGCCGCACCACTCGGCGCACACGTCGCAGTGGGTGCTCCGCGTGCAAGAAAAGGTGTTGAGGAAGCCCTTGGTGCGCGTGCTCTCCATGCACACGAACTCGAAGCGCTTGTTCAAGGCGAGGATGTAGTTGCGGCTGCAGTTGGCGGCGTTGCCGAGGTGCGGGAGCAACGCGGCCGTCCGCACCACGTCGTAGAACTTCAAGATGTAGCGGTCGTAGAGCTTGTCGAAGTAGAAGCAGTTCGGGAGCGACAGGTAGAACTCCACCGCGCCGCCCCACGCGCCGCCCGCGGGCGGCACGAACAGCGCCTCCACGTCCAGCTTGTGGAGCACCGTGAGCAAGCCGCGGAAGCTGGAGAGCGGGCACGCGTCGCTGTGCATGGACGCGAAGAGGAGCCGCGAGTCCAACGTGTGCTTCAGGATGTCGCGCGGCCGGTAGAACCACTGGATCTGGAACACGTAGAGCGCCGCGCTCTCCACCTCCGTCTGCGGCGCGAGCTCGTCCTTGCGCTTGAAGCCCTTGACGCGCCCGATGTAGTAAGGCTCGCCGGGCGGCTCGCTGACCATGTAGATGTAGTCGCCCTTGTGGATCTGGAGGCACGCGCGCGGCTGCTTGCGCCGGCCGCCCACCGGCTGGGGCTGGATGCCCACGCTCTGCACGAGCAAGCCCTGGAGCTCCTGGAGGCGCCGCTGGGGGTGCACGTGCGCCGCCGGGGCCGCGTGGGCCGGGCAGCTCAACGTCTGCAACGACGTGTTGACCGTGGCGCCGGCCAAGTCGAGCTTGTGCGAGAACTCGTCGGCGGCGGCCACGGGCGGCTGCCAGTTGTAGGGCACGTGGCGGGGCGGCGCGCCGGGAGCCGCGTTTTTCCTGCCGGGCGGCGTGGCCAGCCCGGACGGCGGCCTGCTGCCTGGGGCGGGCCGTTTGCGGGCCGTTTTCGGCGCCGCCGGGCCGGCTGGCGGGTTGCTCGGGGCGCTGCCGGCGCTGGCCGCGGGTGTTTCGAAGAGCGCCTCGCCGGAGGGGTCGGTGTAGTTTTTGTTGGCTGCGGCCTTGCGTTTTGGGCGGGCGTGGGACATGGCGGGAGGCTGTGGCTGCTGCTGGGGGTGAATTGGGGTGGGGGCCGTAGGGCTGGTGTAGGGCCTTTCGTGGACCTTTCTTGGGCCTTTTTTGGACCTTTCTTAGACCTTTCTTGGACCTTTTTTGGACCTTTCTTGGACCTTTCCTGGGCCTTTTTGGACCTTTCCTGGACCTTTCTTGGACCTTTCTTGGACCTTTCCTGGGCCTTTCCTGGACCTTTCTTGGGCCTTTTTTGGACCTTTCTTGGACCTTTCGTGGACCTTTTTTGGACCTTTTTCAGACCTTTCTCAGACCTTTCTCAGACCTTTCTGCCGGTTCTGGCGCGGCGGGATCTCCAGATCAGAAGGGGCTCGGGCGTCTGGATGGGCCGCGGGCTCGGAAACAAGCAAATGTGAGCGTCGGCCGGGAAAAAGAAAACGGCGGGTCGCTGGGCGCAATGGCTTCTTCAATACGCTCCTCGTGGGGCCGGCGTTTCCAGGGAACACGGAAAAGAGAGGAGTGGTCCGGAAAAAAAGTGCCTGGCCCATGCTCGGCTCGAACAAAACGGGGACCTCGCTTTTTTTTTTTTTTACATTTCCCGGCACGCCGCCACGCCCGGCGGGTCGGGGCTGTCGACGGCACGTCCGGTGCCACTGTGCTTCTGCCCAGCTGGGGGCGGCTCTACTACTAACCTATACAGGCGGTGCCGGCGCCTTTCTCGCCGGGCCACCGTGGCCCTGAGCACGGGGCCCCGCGAGACATGCTGCGGCCGCAGTGGAAGCATTCTTGCCCGGCCAGCAGCTTTCTTGCCCGGCCGACAGTTTTCTTGCCCGGCCGACAGTTTTCTTGCCCCGCCAGCAGCTTTCTTGCCGCCTCCACGGGCGTAGTCCCGCATACGCACGGCCCCGGAACTCGCCGCGCACTCTACGGGTTTTCGGCCGTGCCCACGTAGCCACGCTTGAGCGCCCGGGAGATCCGCTCGATCTCCGCCATGCTGCTGGCGCCCTCGAGCTCCGCCGCGAGCAGGGCCTTTTCCTCCGCCAGGAGCTTCCGCATGGTGGTCTCCATAAGCCGCGTGTCTTTCGGCACGGGCGCGGCCGCCTGGCTGCCGCTGAGCAACGCGTCTGCCGCCGGCAGCCGGCTGTCGAAGGCCGGGCCAAAGAGCTCCGCCGCGGCTCTTCTCTCGGCTGGCTTGACCTTCTGGCAGTCCAACACCTTCAAAGTGGGGAAGAGCCACACCACAAAGCCCCGGTAGTGGTGCTCCTCGGTGATGCGGTTGCCAAGCAAAACCAAGTGCTCGAGGCGCCGGAGACCCCGCAACTTGGCGACCTCCGCGAAGGACGAGAGGCTGTTGTTCATGAGCAGAAGCGACGTCAATGCGGACGCGGCCACGCGCCCCACGCTCGCAATGTTGTTGTTGGCCAAGAGGAGCACCTCGAGCTTGCGGAGCTCCGGAAGGCCGCTGAGCTCCGTGATCTCGTTGTCCGTGAGATCGATTGCTGAAAACGCGTCCTGGGTGTACTCGAGGTTTTCGATGTAGAGTAGACCCCGGCTGCGGAGCACTAGGGTCAGCAAGCCCTGGGGGGCCGCCACCTTCAAGGCGCTTTGCACGGCGCCTGGCGTTAATCTCAGACCCAGCATACGTACGGCGCGAGTCGGCTGGCTCCTGCTGCGGCTGTGTGTCCGTTTCGGGTCAGGTTTCCGGCGGGGTCAAGGCAGCTGTCAGCTGAGCACTGAACATGATGGGGCCGCACCCGTGCCTCCTGGCGTCTCGTCGTCCAAGCTTCGCGCAGGAACTGGAGGGAGCCGAGCTGGGCCATCCGGCATTTTCTTTGGAGCATGCAATCTCCCCAACGGCCCCGCCGTCCGTCGATGCGGACTCGCGTGGTGCGTGGGGCATGCGTCAGTAGATCGTGACACACGAAACACAGTTGTTACTCTCGTTTACCTCCAAGATACACCTCTGGTACCCGTGCAAGCGCAGCTGGCCCCATGTCTTGGCTTGTTTCGAGACCGTGGCGTCGTCTTGGTTTGTGCAGCTGCCGTTTTTAAGCTCCTCGGATAACACAAGCTCGAGGTCGTAGTCGTCCGCGGTTTCGGAGTCGCCCCGGTTCAAGAGCACGGGCTGGGAGCTGTCGCCCCCGATCTGCTCAAAGAACTCGGGGTCGAAGTCGTCAAAGTACGTTTCGGAGTCCACCTGCGCCGCGCCGCGCTCCGCAGAAGTGCTGATGGACCAGTTGCACCTGTTCCAATGCATGAAGTCCAACGACTTGATGTTGCCGCCGTTGTGGATCACGATCTTCTCCAAGACCCCGCCGTTGCCGCAGGCCGGATTCAAGTTGTAAAGGAAGTCGATGCCGTGGCGGAAGTAGTTGTGGAACTTGGCCACCGAGCACGCGTCGGGCGACTCCGTCGGTCCTGGCCGGAGATGCTTGTGGATCAGGAGCCGGGAGTCGAATTTGTTGAAGTACGAGTCGGCCGGCCCAAGCAAGCGGATCACGTCCTGCTGCGTGGACTCGCCAATGGTGAGAGTCGCCGAGCTGCGCTGGTGCTTGGCGAGAAGACGCAACTCCGCAGTGCCGGTGCTAAGCGTGACGTGGAGCTTTTCGACGGCCAACTCCGAGAAGTGCGAGGGCCGTGCGACAGGCTCGCTGCGCGGCCCGTGCTGCAACTTGCCGATGAACGACGGGTAGTCCTCGCCTTCGAAGATGGCCAACGACACACACGGAATATCCGTGGCCGTCTCCCAGTTGGTGAGGTGGGAGAGAACGCGGTTCTTGTCCTCCAAATCAGCGATGCGTCTGCACAAGTCTTCCAGCCGGATCTCAAAGCGGAAGGCTATCCCTGGATAGCTGAGAAGGTACGAGTGGGACGGCATGTGGAGCTCCCCGGGGAAGGTTGGCCCGAAGATCTTGTTGTACACCTCTTTCAAGGTCGGCGGCAGAACATGCTTGTTTTGCTGCAAGTGCACAAGCGTGTCATCCGCTGTGCCCAGCACTAGCTCCTCGTCGCTCGGTGTATGGTACACGATGTCGTTGAGGTAGTGGCCCTTGTACAAAAGCTTCATGAAGTCGAAGCTGAGCACCTCGATAAGAAGCAAGGGCTGTGTTCCTGCAGCGCCAAACATCAAACGGACGCCCAACTTGGGAAGGGACATTAGCAACGGGGTGTCGAGATAATGCTCCTGCGAATATGCAATTTCCATCCGCTGACGTAGCTCCCTGAGCTTTGTCACCGTGCCATAGAGCAGATTTCCCAACACAAGTGTTTTATCGAGGCTCTCGCTGGGGAATATCTCGGCCGAAGACATGGTGTTTATGGGTATGTCGCACTATAATATGAGACAAGGGAGGGAAGCTGAGATGGGCTGGTGAGCTGCAAGGATTTGCCAACGCTTCTGAGATTTTGAGTTCAATTCAACAGGCCTGAGTGCTTTGGTTTTCGGCCCTATGGTTCCTGGCCCCCTCGAAGTGTTTCTGATCAAGTGAGGTGTTGTATGGTGCCTTATGATGGGGGCGTAGAATGGCTATGGTCCTCCACAAATAGAACAGCAATTGTTGGTTGTTCAGGGGAACACTCTGGCTTGTCTTCTGCTTTTCAAGTTGGGAGTATAAGTGACGAGCTTGAGTCAATGTGGCGGAACTGTTTGTGTTCTGTTGAACGGTGCTTGAAGTGCCGGACAAATATCGGAACATGTGTGCTGTTGGGCTAATTAGCGCAAGACGTTATCAGAGCCTGTATGCAGGCGTTGGGGCTGGGCTTTAGTAAGGACTGCCTCCGCGTCCAGAACCAGCGTAGAACTACAAGGTCGGACGGTCGTTCACAGAATGTGCTGTCGATGTCTTTTCTTGAAGCAAGCCCCGTCAAAATTGCGCTTGCCTGTATAAGTCCACGTTCACGGTCCAAAATCATCGGCCCTCTGTTTCAGGCAAGTACTCATATTCCGCGAATCATGATAAAAGACAAGGGTTTCATGTAGATACAACCACTAGAAGGATAGATCTCCCTAAGCTCGCTTGCTCTATGAGGATGCCTCTACGATAGGCGTGGCCACCTTTTCCAGTCCGCAGGTACATCTTCAAGTGGACGTTTATCTAAGTATATATTACTATACGTGGCCCACTACGACATACATGCGGCGAGCGAAACTTAGGAATGTCGCGGTCTTAATTAAGTACCCCAGGTAGCACACATGGATAACTATCTTCTAATCAAAAGCCATCAGACTTTCCGAAATCAATCACGCAGACCGAAACCCAGATTTGCCTAGGCGAGACATAAAGCTGTGTAATAACTGGCGATCACGCCTTGTGTATGTAATCCCACAGTTCCCGCGGTCTCTCTGCTATCTCCAAACTTGACTAATGTATAGTTCGTGCCATTTGCCTGAAAATTATCTTGTCAATACCGAGCGCCTCGCCTTAGTCCCCTGCAATGCAATTAGACTTGGTAAAGACTGTAAACACCAAAAAAACACATGCGCTGGTTTGGAACGCGGAACCAGCCTCAGGTGCGCTCATAAGCAGTTTATGGGATCTTTCTAGGCACTGCTTCAGATTGTGACGTGCGAAATTGCTGGAGAACAAAATGAGTTCAGCCAGCTGCTTGTGAACCACAAAGCTTGGGGCACTTTATAATTCCAGGCCATCTGATGACCTCTAGATTCCTAGGGCAAAGGACCCAGGAGATCATCAAGCCAAACCTCTTGACCATCGTGCCCTACAGTTGCAAGCTACACGCTTCATCCAGGGACATGATAGATTTGAATTTTCAAACAGGACCCCCAATGCCCCACCTGGAAACACTCTCAGAAACCGCAAAAGCTTTAATTAGATATCAGATTAAATTAACTCAACGAGGACTTGCCTCGGATCTCACTTTACACAATAGAATTTTACATGGAATTTTCGCCGAATCACGCCTTGCTGTGTTCCTCGGACTCATCGGGAGAAAACGTCTCGCCATTCGACGCAATGCCATCGACGGGCTCCTGTGTCTTGGCTTCCTTCTCCTTCTTGGCCGTTTCCCTCAACTGGATCACCTTGGGGTCTGTTGACCTGATGGGCTCCAAGACATAGGGCGAAGATTGTGGGCCCATCATGTCGGGCCCCTCCTCCTCGAAGTAGTAGGCATACTCGCCGATCTCGGCCAAGTCAACGCCCATCAACTCTTCGTCCTCGTGCAATCTCAATCTCAAGAAAGGCACCCTGTCCATGGCAAGCAAAATGATGGACGTGACCACAAACGACCAGGCGCCAATGGAAACAGAGCCGGCCAACTGGTAGCCCAACTGAATGTAGTGTTGGTTCATCCAGCCGCCGTCAATCACAGTGGAGCCGTCTGTGGCTGCGACGTAGTCCGCAGCAAACAAGCCAGTCATCACGGAGCCGAGGAATCCGCCCACACCGTGCAAGGCAAACACGTCCATACCATCGTCGATGCGCAAGATGTTCTTCAAGTCAACGGCAAAGTTGCATGCCACGGCAGGCACCACGCCAAAGATAATGGCGGTGTACACAGGCACATATCCGGCGGCAGGCGTGATGCCCACAAGCCCGGCAATGGCACCCATACATAAGCCTACCGTGGACCATTTGCCGCCCGTTCTGAAATAGTCCACAAACATCCAGGTCAAGCCACCGCTGGCCGCGGCGATGTTGGTGTTGACACATGCATACCAGGATCTGATGGTGGCGTTACCAGTGGAGCCACCGTTGAAGCCGAACCAGCCGAACCACAAGAAAACGGTACCGAAAACAATGGACGTGACCGAGTGCGGCTTGTACTTTGGCATCTTGCCGTTGGTCAAGGGGTCGTGTCTCTTTCCCAAGACAAGCGAGTAGGCCAAAGCGGCGAAGCCCGAGTTCTCGTGCACGGGGCCACCTCCAGCGAAGTCCAAGCCTCCCAAGTTGATCAACCAGCCGTTTCCGCCCCACACCCAGTATGCAATGGGGCAGTAAACCACCGTCAACCAGATGAAAAGAAACACCATCATGGGGAACAAGCGGGCTCTCTCACAGCCTGCACCGACCATCAAGATGGCCGTGACACAAGCAAACATGCCCTGGAAAAAACAGAACAAGATGTCCGGCACCGAGCTGGCCACACTGGGCGCTCCAAGCACATCCATCAAGCAGAAATTGGTCAAGTCGCCCAAAAACTGGGACTTGTTTGAATGTGAGAACACAAGCGAGTAGCCCCAGAAAAACCACTGGAACGTGGTGACACACGCGGCCATTACCGAGGCCCACAACAAGGAAAGCGCGTGCTTTTTCCTACTGATACCGGAGTACAACAATCCAACACCAGGGATCATGAGCCACACCAACACGGAGGAGATCCCCACCCAGACCATGTCTGCACCTTCAAATTGGAGGTTCAAATTTTGCGTGAGCGAGTCTCCTCCGGTGCCTGTGCCGGAGAAGGTCTCTGTGCTCATTGCAGTGGAATCAGTACTAGACATTTCCAGAATGAGACTGACGTACTTATTAGCGAGCCGAGAAGCGTATTAAATTAGGCTGAGCCCAGAATTGAGAAATCTGCGGAGAAAGAGAGACTGGATCAATTAGTAGCTAGCCGCCTCTGGATATCTCAACCAAATATAGCCCTTGAAAACGAGAAGGCCGAAATCCACCAGCCATATTTATATTGGAACCCTTTGGGGTGTTGATAACGAAGATAAGATCGGGCCAATCAAAACAGGGCTCTTCTGGCCGATCGCGTCACTAGATGCAAACTCAGGCATATAGGCCCCCGCGAGATATCAATGTATAGATAACGCAAGCCTCGGCCTGTACACATTTCGAGAAGCAGTCTTACTTGTCGTTAATTTGTTCGTTTATGTCCGCCGAGGCGCGCTTGAGTCATTGGCTGGAACGGCTGATATCAATACGAGAACATCAACACGCTCCGGAACAAAGTCCGGCGAGCCGACAACAGACTATGTGCAGACTTCTCCTCCAGCATGATTCCGAACATGCACACTATTAACGGGCAGAGATGCTTTATCGTGAGAATAGCCCAAGAAAATTTCTGATGAGAGAGATGAAGGAAATAAAGAATAAGAAAGCAAAGTGGGAGATAGTGGTGGCAAAATGTGGCAGGGGCTAAACTTGAGAAACGCGGGAAATTCTGAGCTTGTTTTTTTCTTAGCCACAAGCAAACTCCGGGGAGATTAGAATCCCCTTCCGCGCACAGCTCTGACATTCTGAGATCGTACGACTATGTCGATTCTGGCTGACATCGAGGACAAATATCGTTTTTTGAAGCCGGATTCCTTAATATATCCAGAAGCTTTTCTGATGTGGAATTTGCAAGTTGTGGAAGAGACGCTGAGCGTGTCGCATATTCACTTTCTGGTGGGACTGGTCTATACGCTCAGTTACTGCTTGGTTCCTGAAGAACAGTTCAAGGAGAAGTTGTAGAAACTAGCGAGCCGCAGATCACAATTGGGCTTATTGTGTCGAAACGCGGATATACGGTCTCCGTAGCTTTAGTAATTCAGCATTCTCCGTCTGGTCCCTTATTGTGTGAGAATCACTTACTACTTTCTGAATAGAACTGATGTCTGCGAGGATTAGATGAATGTGTGCTTGTTATGAGATAAAGCTTTTCTTTGACTGGAAGATGGCTTGTTTACTAAGCTTCTGGTGTAATTTCCGAAGAACGCACATTCGTGTGAAGTTGTTTGAAACATCCGAGACGTGGATTCGAGATTATCTGGCCATCTCCCCGTCATACACATATAGGAACAGAATTGAAAAAGAAGGCATGATACAAGTGGCTCTACTATGAGCCGAACCCACCATAGTCAAATTTGCCGATTGGGGTTGCTCATGTTTTATGACTCCATTTGACCGTATACAATCATAGCTCACCCGATAAGAAACTGATTCCCCTTGAAAATCCTTGTATCATTATGAATGTTTCCAACGCTTCTGTAGACTAGTGCAACAACAATTCGCTTATAGAGTCCCCCATGAATTTCTCTTTCACAAAAAAAATCATTTGTTCTCCTTATGTGAACCCAGCAATTTTTAGAATTTCACCGAATCAATTGCGGAACGAAAAAAGAATTCAAATTCTACCAAAAAAATACCTTGACAACCGGGCATTAAAAAAAAGAAGCCCTGTAATCTGAAGCTTCGAAAAAAGCCCGGCCTTTTCTCCACAAATGAAATTCTGATTTCTCTTGCATGAAAGACTGTTATTCACTTTCGTTAATCTACCAGTCCCAGAACCAGAGCCACCGGCCACGGCCCCGCGGCTCGCACGTGACCAAACATCGGTAAATCCTGCAGATAACCACGCTGACCCTCCCAAATGAACCGAGTGCACCGAACAGCCTCAGCCCCAGACCAGCCCAAACATATTTCATTGAGCAAAAATACCATCTACATACGAGCTTTGGCTGCAAGTGGCTGTATAGATTCGGGACCAGGTGCAAAAAAGATCACTTGACTGCTTCAACGAGCTTTTGAGAGCCCACATCCCAAACATTGAAAAAAAAGCACCAAACAGCAAAGTTCCCCGCGGGCGCACCTCCTATTTTGCACTCTACAGAAATGTCGGAAATGGACTTTTCCACCACGATTTTGACTTCCAAGTCTCCTGAGGATGTGGCGAACTTTCTCCCCCACTCCTTGCAATTGAGCTCCAGGCTCATTGAGAAAAGCTTGATGGTATGGTTTTCCAACTATGCAGCTATGATTACCAGGTACAACCAGGATTTGAATACATTGGTTGCCAACGGGCGCAGTTTTTTCAGCGGCTCGGGCGGCGAGTTTGGATCGCTCGACAAGATATGGAACTGCGTGGCGTCCTCGGTTATGTCGCAAGTCGAGGTAAACGAGACCTTGATCAAGGTGATTAGAAAGGACATTTTGGCACAGTTTAGCTCCGCTTTCCACGAAGACTTCAAGTACTCTGAGTTGTTGGTCAACTCGAACGAGCTTTTGGAGATGAAAAACCATTTGGGCGATGACAACGGCGCCTATAATTGGAATGTCAAGGCGCCGGCCATTCTCAACAACTTCGAAAACTACAAGAAGTTTGAGAAGGATTTAATATTCAACGCGTTCATCTCGTATTTGAATACTCTCAACTCCAAGACTTCCAACCTAGTTCACAAGAATGAGAATGCCGTGAACTTCATCTTAAAAGAATATCATCTTGACAGCGAGATGCGGCTCTACACAGACTACATGATCAACGCAGACGTCCCAGAAGCCGAGAGCAAAGCTGCTCCCCCTACTAACATTCCGCCTCCTAGACCTCAGCCCAAACACAAGCCATCAGTAGCCTCTTCCAACCTGGAATCTGCCGCCGGTACGACTCCCGTGGCGGAGAAAAGAAAGTCGAAGTTGCGCCTGAAGATGGGCTCGATACTCGGCAGAAAAAAGAAACACACGTCTTTGAGCCACGCGGAAACCATCCCCGAGGACGCTCTGGCCGTCTCTAGGCCCTCGAAACTGGAGACCCACGTTTCCCATGGCGATTCCAGGAACTCTGTGCAAGAACTCTATTCTAATACAGTGCCCCAACGTCATTCTTTGTCGAGAGCCCAGTCGAAGGTGACAGAGCCAGCAGAATCTGTGGCCGAGAAAGCACCGGTCAATCCCTCACCTGTTGCTCCATCAAATGGCGACACAAGCTCTTTAGCTGCCGCAACCCAAAAGACGCCTCAAAAATTCCATCCTGCTTTTGATGCGGCTCCTTTGCAACCATCTCAGCCAGCGCTGCGTATGAATAATGAAGGCGTTAGCTCTGTCGAAGACTTTACTCCACCAGCTCTCGTTGAAGAGAACGATGAAGAGACTGACGACGAAGGTGCCAACTTTGTCAAGTACTCCTCCTCGGAAGAGGAGAGCGATGTTCCGATCGACAAAAACGGAAGGCGTGAGTCCCTACTCAACGCGCATGACTTGGGCCAGCCTCCAAAGGTCGAGACTGACTCAGACGTGCGCTCCAGAAACACGTCCTCTGGTAAGTACAGTTTCGAGTACGGCGATGAGTCCAAGTCCATCTCAACTCCTCAGCACACTCCCGTTATGCCAGCCTCACCTGAATTTTCTGCTGATCGCCGTGTACCCGCAATTCCGGAGAAACCTTTCGATGAGTCAAAACCAGTTAGAATTTCCAACGTGATGCCTGTGATAGCGCCAGGCCATACCAAGGGCGACTTCCAGTCTGCAACTGTGACACGTGCGCCACCACCGCCTCCTTCTAGAAAAGCGCATCCTACGCAACACGATATACGGAGAGACTCGTTGCAGAATCTTCACAGCTCGCGCGACTCTTTTGTCATGCCGAATGCTGGAGATCGGAAGTCTCTTGTGAGTCAAACGACCGGAAACTCATTGATGAGGCAAGATCAATTCAAGCATTTCGGTGCTTCGGAAGCATCCATTAGAGAGGGGTTGAACACTTCCATTGCAGAAATCCTCAATGCAACTTTCAAGGACGGTAAAGTCACCAAAGCGCAAGTTTTTGGTGAAGTTGCGTTCAATTACAATTCCAGCGAACCATTGGACTCCCTTACAGTGAATATTCCGACTCAATTCTCTAAGTTTTTATTGAACGACGAGTTGATGACTAAACATGGAAGCGAGGAATACTCTCTCAACTTAGCGCTTATTGCCGGTAAAACTTTGGGAGGAATCAAATATCTGCTTGATCTGAACTTAGATCGTGTTCCTGTTTTGATTAAACAGATATGGAAGTTTGAGCCGAATCAGGCTAGTTTAATCATCAAGCTATCCTTGAACGCGGCATACAGCAAACGAATCAAGCTTGAAAATTTTACGATCTCCGCGGCCTTGGATAACTCCGTTCTGTCCATCTCTGCTTTGTCGAAACCAGAAGGATCGTTCAACAAGGACTTGAATAGAATCACGTGGAGGTATGTAGAGCCTTTGCAACTTGACGCGTCTTCCCCCGAGATTAAGTTAATTGCTAGGATCATGACCACCGGTCTCGCCCTGGAGTCGGCTTCTGGAACGAGATTGAGATTCACTATTAGCGAGGATGCTATTCCAAACGTGAAGATTTTCGATTCTTCACACCAACCTGTTCCAAGCATAGCAAGTCTATCGAGCGGGAATTACAGCTCCCACATCTAGGATTTGTCCGTGAAGACTTTTCAGATATAAACTTTTGTATGTAAAATTATAAAATTGCGCCTGGCGTATTACTCTGGAGCGTCTAAAGCCACTTGGAATGCTTGATGTCCTTCTTGAGCCTGTAGACAACAACAATGATCGCAACAATTCCTATAATCAACGGTATCAAGACCCACCTTATAATAGTGCCGAGGTATTCAAAGTCAGCAGACCTGGTGTCAAGGTTCTGATATTGTCCCTTAATCTCTCGGTGATTGTCCATCAAAAGGTCAACCTTGCCAGAAACATCTTGCACCTCCAACCGGTGTTTCCTGACTTCTTCAATGATTCCCTGATTGAGCACACGTACGGCCTTGGTCATCTCCCTATAGTGAGAAGTCAACAAGGATTCGAAGTGTTTGTGAGTTGTCATCAATTCCCCAAGCACCGACAGCTGCTGACTTTGGATCTGCTTTATCCCTTCAATGGCCACAGATAAATCATTGATCTTGGTGAAATCGAAGGAATTGACTGTGTGTTCTATCGTCATCAACTTGGAGGTTATTTCAGACAACGAACCTTCCAACTTATCGAGATTCTGTACAGGAGGAGCTGTCTGTCCTCTATTTGACATCATTTTCTCCATTAGAGATGGCGCTTTTTGCAACGGTTTACTTGTGCGTTGGGATGATGACATTTGTGTTTTGGTCACAATCTTGGGTGCGGGGCCATCTGCAACGCCGTGGTCGTCAATGGCATCTTCGGATAGTCTGTCGTAGATATCCATTTTCAACACCTCCCAATACTCTCTTGAAACAGGGTTGGTGGACGCAGAAACACCCAAGCGAAGATCAGAACCAATTTTGCCAAACGATAATGCATCAGTGCTGAAGCATAAGTTATTGTCGATTTGCACCTTGAACCAATTTCTTGATGCCGAGTAAGACACACGCATTGTGAAAGGCACCATAGAGTCCAAGTAGTTGAATCTACACCCACCAAGCGCGTTTGTTTCGGCATTGTTGATGCTTTTAGAGCCGTCATTGGCAAAAATTTTGAGGCCTCTGTAGTCCAAGTTGTTCATCAAGAATTGTAATCCATCAAATTTCAGCGGACCGCCAAAATTCAATGTATCATCTGGGACCAGGCCGTCAAGAAGCCAGAAAGACAAGCCGTTGGTCTCGAAAAAAGAATGGTCATCTACGTCTTCCTGTTCCGAATTCCTGAACACCAATTCAACAGTCCATTCATTTTTGGAATTGGCCAATGGATGACGAGACCAAACTGATCCCTTCCCGTCCTCTACCACTAATCGTCCAGCTTCTAGGTTCATGGAGCCCCTTACATCCCAGTCTGCATATATATCAGAAATCTGGTCGACTTTAAGCAAGTTGGGAAGAGAATGTCTGCTTGGGAAGTCGGTATCTTGCTCATTGTTCACTAGCCGGGCCTCGGGAAGAATTGCCAAAACCGGCGCGATGGAAACCACAAGCTTAATTAATTGCCCGAGAACTATCATGAAGTACCAGCGATCTGTCAATTGCACCAGGCAAGTCGTATTTATGGCAGACAAAGAAGGTGATCTTAGACTGAGAGATATGTCTGGATCCGTACACCAAGTGCTACTTGCTACGGCCGTTGCAGATCATAAATAACGACCAAATGACTGCTTCTTCAAAACATATATTTCAGCATATGAGATATATATACATAGACGCGTTCATCGTCAAGACTCATGCGCTTTCGGATCAAAAGACGCATCCAAATGGACTAATGCTCATTTATCCTATGACGTATTAGGCGGGCTGACGCGTTGCTCGCAGTCACGTGAGAGTTGGCACAGCCGAATAGCCACGTCTCCACAAGCACATCTATGAATGCTTCTATAAGGCAGGCTCGACCCTTCCATTAGCCCTGGTTTTTTCTTCCGATATTCCTGCGGATCTTCCATATACCACCAAGTTTCTGCATCTGGTCCGTGCTCACATACGGCACATTGCTAAACTCACCTGACAACCCGTTCGTAAATTCTACCGGCGGAATCTCACCCTCGCCTCTGGCAAGGACCACTGAGTGGCCGTTCTGTTTTGCGTGTATAATTTTTTCGGAGACATAGTCTTCGTCTCGTAGGTGAATGTTAAATGTACGCTCTCTATTCTCCACCAGATGCACCATGCACAATCCAACATACGAGTAATCAAGCCCAGTGAGTTTAGACCCCGATAAATAAAAGTTTTTTGGGACTGATGGCAAATTTTTGACAGTGAATATCCCCACAATGGTAGCCTCGATGAGGGAAAAGGCGTCTTGTTTTGATATGTCCTCATCGGCCTCGATATTGAGCACACTGATGGCGGATACGTGGTCAAAAGAAAACTTCACAGGCGCGATATGCAAAAGTGGCCTCACGAAGTCAAAATCCCGACGGGTTGTTTGATGAAAGTATAGGAGCTTGTTTCGGAGCAAAAGCTCCTGCTTAGTGAACGCCCGTGCCCTCCGCACACCTCTTACAATAGTCGTGTCTTTGATGTGAAACCCCGATAACACGTCATAGTCCGGGTGGTCGGTTTCTTCAAATGCGTCTGGCTCGAACTTATCTAGAGATAAAGCGTCGTTGTGTGTGAGATACACCATTTTCTTGGGCTTCAAGGTGCGGCTGAATTCCATGAGAAGCTCTTTTCCGTACCCTTTTATCCAAGACGGAAATCTGACCACGAGTGGGATTCCCTTGGGCTCCAAATTTGTGGCATAATGCTGAAGTAGCTCATCGCATGATCTTAGGTAAAGCTCGGGTTTATCTGTGAAGGACGAGAACCCGTAGTAACGATGGGTATGGTCTTCGGTAAGATCGTCTTCGCCCCAGAAAAAAAACTCCCCGAAAACAGGCTTCCTCAAAACTCGCAATGAGAGACATCCTGGATTGTTGCCATCAATGCTGCTGGGATCGAGATCAAGATACGCCACGGGCCGTTTTCCATAGACCATCGTGCTATTCATGAGGGCCTTGCAAAAGGTTCTTTTTCCACTATTGGGCACTCCAAAGACCACGACTCTTTCCATTTGGCGACACGCACTGTCCAAAACTCGCAACGTTTTTTCATCGAAGTAGTTGGTGCTACAGGCGTCTTCGCCCTTCTGCACAAACTCGAAGGTGTGTCCCAATTCCAACCGCTTGTAAAGTTTTGCCAACCGAGGCATGTAGAATCCCAAATTGTCAATTCCAACAGCCCAATTGCTTAACTCAATAACAGTGGCATGCTTGGGGAATATGGGATCTATTTCCGGGCCTTCAAACAGAGGCTCGGTGTCATTCGGAACGGCGATAGTTGGAAGAGACTCTGCGGAGCTTGTGACGATGGGATAAAGCTTCCCACACAGAAGTTGGTGAGCATTGTTAATTATGCATAGGCCACGATGAACTTTGAGCTGATACAACCCTCGGGCGACTATATATTCTGACGGATGAAGGCCCAAAAATACTGACGACGGAGTGAAGACGGAATTATCAATAGAGAACTTGAAACTGGATGCCTCAACAGGTCCCGCTAGAAGCTGCTCAACGGGATGAGGGTAACAATAATCTTGAATGTTGGGCTGTCTTCCTAGAGACGCAAAGGCACTCATATCATCCAGCCTAATTTAATGCTTGTAGGCCTAGAGAATGCCTATGCTGGTCATGTGACTTGTGAGCTGCGACTTGTGAGATGGGAACGCGGTCGATCACGAGTTTCTTGCCGGGGCACGACTTAGCATGCTTCGTATAACTCGACAAATTTTGGATTGCCAATTCACGAGGCTATCAACGGCTGTGGCAAGACAAGAGAAGTATTTTTGATTTTGAACAATTTTCTCCGACCGCGAAAGTCCGATGAATATGATGGCGCATCGGAACGACTTTAACGCCGACCATACTTTCTACTGTAGGCTGGATGAAGAATTCATTCTTCATTCATACAATTTGAACTAGTTCACCACAGCCCTCGGTTTTCAAAAGTCTTAACCCAAAAATAGATTTATTCTGTTTTACTGCTTGCTTACTGCTTGCTTACTGAGAGCTACGCAGAGCCACGAACACGTAACGCTGGGTGCTCTCATAGATAGTGCATTGATAATATTTCGTAACGGCAAGCATAGCGAGAAATATAATGAGTACTGCTATTTGCTGATGATAGCTTGCAAGACTTTTGCGGCCTTGACGACTGTTTCATCTGTGTATCTTCTCCCAGTCAATTGAAGTGCCACTGGAGCACCCAAAAAATCTTCCGGACTAGTGTAAAGTCCGTATTCATATTCTTCAACGTCATTCCGAGCAACGTATGTGGTATCCTTTGCATCCAACTCGGAGTCCACATGAATGCCCGTTGGAAAAATCACATTGGGGAAATCAAGCATATTCCAGAGATTGGTATATCCCCAATAGTGGATAGTTTCTGGCTTTGATGCCACCGAGACGTACGTCGGTGACAAGATAAAGTCAATGCCTTGGTCATTCATCTGCATCAAGTACTGGTTCCTGTTTTTGTCTCTGATGTAGCAAAGCTTCTGCACATCGAGACCAGAAAGCCCGGCATCCCCACAGCCAAAAGAAAACGTCTTAGCCGTTAATGGCAAAAGAGGTTCACCAGATACAGCAAGTTGTTTTTTCTGTGTGTGGTTTCCATCGTAGTTGTATCCTGCGTACGTTGCCTCCACGATTTCCTTGACATTGATGTTGTCCCATTCAACAACACTCACGCCGGCGTCAACAAGCTTCTTAGCCGCGGTTTTCAAGCCCCTGATGATTGGCGGCGTCGGCTTTACATAGCCATCATCGTAGATTATAGCGATTTTCAATGTTTGGGGCTTGGGCTCTGGAGCATCTCTCCAGGGAATCGGGAGCACCTCAGCGTCCGTTTTCCACGGCTCCTTGTCGATGATGGCCTTCATGAAAAGATCCAAATCATCTGCGCTTCGGGCTAGCGGACCTAAAACTGGAAACACTAGCTCTTGAACCTGGTCAACATATCCACAAGAAGTGTGTTTTAAAGAGAGACGCTTTGACGAAGGACGGAGACCCCAAACGCCACAGAATGCTGCAGGAGCCCTTACTGATCCCCCAATATCACTACCCAATCCAAAAACACTGCCTTTCATAGCAGCAATGGCACCCTCTCCACTAGAAGACCCGCCCGGAGTTAGCTTCGTGTTCCACGGGTTTCTGGTTTTTCCCGTGATGTTGTTGTTGGAACACAAATGCATCATCGTTTGAGGCTCTGAGGTTCTCACATAAAGAATTGCGCCTTGATCATACAAATTCTGCACACTAATAGAGGTTTCAGACGACACGTGGTCCAACCAACCCACAAAACTGGAGTGCGTGACCTTCCCCTTGATGTCTAGATGTTCTTTCACAGAAACCGGCAAACCGTGCAAGACACCTACTACTTTTCCGTTCTTGGTAAAGTATTCGTCAAGGTCTTTTGCTCTTTGCAAGCTTTCGTCCAAGAAAAGCTCCATGGCACAGTTCGTCAATTGATGGGCAATAACAGCTCTCTTGGCGTAGGCTTCAAACGCTTGCACAGAAGATATTTCTCCAGCGGCAATCTTTTTGGCAAGAACGGTGCCCTCGAGCTCGGTGATTTCTTTTTCCTCAGTCAGCAAGAATTTTTCACCAAACTCAATTGCATTGATACCGCTCTCTAGGACATCATCCAGCGGCAATTCAGAATCAGCAATGTTATATGGGCCCTTGACCTCTGCCGAGAGCTTCTGACAGTAGGCAGTAATTTTTGTTTTCCAGTTTTCGAACTTTGCTGGATCAGTAGTGTCGTTTGAATCTCCAAAAAGCATGATTTCCAAATTGGTTTCTTTGGGTAACGATTGCTAGCTTGATGTGTTGCGCGAGCTAATATTGACGGGCCGATAGTGAACGAGAAAAAAAATATAATTGAGGGAAAAACGAGCTCATATTTTTAATATATGGGTGAATCCAGGTACTTTGTAAGTGAAGTAGCATTATTCCCAATACGTAAGGTGAACCCGGTCTGTGTGCGGTGATAACAATGACACGTGACTCCGCATGTCTCAGCGCTTATCTTTATATACGATCTTGTTCTCTTGTATGAGAACCAATCTTGAATGTTTTGGGGCTCAGATCTAGATCTCCAAGTAAATTCTAATAAATATTGATACTTGTTAACCTCATAATTTTTTATATTTCATTCAGGAAACGACTTGGGACATATCTTATCCTCGGCCCATTTCAATTGTGCGTGCGTATCAATTGGGATGTGCTTTTTATCACGTCGCCTGATATTTACTTATCATAATTACTGCATATATAGATACCAGACTATTTGATTTTAATTAATAGATTGGAAGTATATTGTGCTCGTAGCTCACCTAGTGGCCGGCTTCGAAAAATGCGATACCTTTTTAGGAAACTCTAGCAGGTAGAATTAAGCGCGTCGCATTAACTTGAAGTGCATGATAAGGATGGCCCTCGCATGTGGCTAAGATAGAGGTTTAAAGCAACTCTAAAGAAATATTTAGTAACAAAAATAATTCAACTTCACATTATATGTCTTTGTTCTGAATAAGTCAGCCTTACCTGAAACGCGTCACAATTTCCTCCCAATCCCCTTGTCTTTCCGAAGACCCACGTCAATGCACTCGTAAATTCTGGCAATTTATTGTCTGTAAGTACCGCTACACTTAAGCATACTCTCATATCTTATCAAAGTTATTTCCTGATTTGGCTTTCCGATACCTGGACTGTCTATCATATGAAGGCTTATCGCAATAATCTATAGCGACCGTTGCCTAAAGCGTATGAAAGTAAACGGTTTTTTCTGTGCCTCTTGCACATATCGATTGTCTTATCTCAATAAAGATACTGAGATAAGGACTCAAATTTTTTGTTATGTAATGGTCATGTGTACATACTATCTTGACTGACTACATAAAGATACCGCTGCGACTGGAACTTGAGGTTATTTTCAAGGAAATATTCATTTTCAACGGGATTTGGAGCAAACAAACATGACAATTGACTACTCAACCGTACCAGGCACAGCGCATCTCGTTGATATTGACGAGAAAAGCAAAGAGATCGTCTTGATTCCAACACCATCAGATGATCCTAACGATCCCTTAAATTGGTCAAAGTCACGGAAAAACCTTCACATGTTCTGTGTTGTGTTATACGTGTTCGCCACGGGTATACCTGGCACATGCATCTATTCAATTCTTACAGACATTGCTGCTGCTGATGATATTGATATCTCTGTCGCTGATCTAAACGCAGGCACAGGATATGCGTTTTTGTTTTTGGGTTTAGGGTGCCTAATTTCACAGCCATTGGCAATGCAATACGGAAAAAGACCAGTTTATCTCTTCTCGACTTTATCATGTGCTTTGTTGAACTTGTGGCAGCCATATATAAAAACTAATGGAGTGTGGATTATTTCAAAAATCTTGGCTGGAACTGTTACTGCTCCTATAGAAGCTTTGCCTGAAGCCACCATTTCCGATATGTTCTTTGAGCACGAAAGAGCCACGTATATGGGCATATACGCTTGTGCATTATTCGGCTCAAATTATATTGCCCCGTTGGTGGCTGGATTCATCAATGAGAATTCTCAAAACTTGGAAGTCGGTGGATGGAGATGGGTCATTTTCTGGTCGGTCATCTTTTGCGCAATAAGCTTTGTCTTTCTCTTTTTTTTCATGGAGGAAACAAACTACGAAAGAAAATTGAGAGTCAAAAAAGGTATTGATGGTCAGTTTTTGTCCGTCATTACTAGCCATGGAACAATAAACCATACCAAAGGCGGAGAGAAGCAAGTTGTTTCGGTTCAAGTAGCAACGGAAAACGCCTCAGAAGATGAAATTGATAGCGAGAATCACGAGAATACCCTTGGAAACCTTTCTGAGTTTGTGGATGCAAATGAATCAGTAAATTATGCTCCACCAAAAACATTCGCTCAAAGATTATCATTGACTTCCGGAGTAAAATCCAAGTTTCTACTTTGGGAATACTCAAAAACCCCTTTCATAATGTGCCAGTTCCCTGTTGTGTTATGGTCCGGGTTTCTCTATGGAGCATCTCTTTTTTGGTACACTGTTTTGAACGCTACAGAAGCATTGGTTCTTAGTTCTTCGCCTTACAATTTTTCGAGTTCAATGACGGGTTTGGCATACCTTTCGCCTTGTATCTTTGTTGTGCTTATTTACTTCTACGCAGGCTGGACTACTGATTATTTAAAGATCAAAATTGCCAAGAGGAGAGGGGGACTCTCTCAAGCAGAAGATAGATTATGGGCACTCTCGGTATATGCTATCTTGGGTCCGTGTGCATTAATTTTATGGGGCGTTGGTGCATATCATGGAATCCACTGGTTTGGTGTTGTCTGCGGCCTTGGCCTTATGGCTGGTTTGTGTATCATTGGATGTGTGAACTCGGTGACATACGTGATTGATTGTTATCACGAAGTATCCTGTGAGGCAATGGCCACAGTCATTGTGATTAGGAACACCATGAGTTTTGCCATGAGTTACGGTATAACCCCATGGATTGAGAACGAGGGCTTGCAAAACACTTTCATTGCAGCGGCATTCATTTGTTTATTTTGCATTGGAACTTTTGTCGTCATGTTGAAGACAGGGTATTACTGGAGAGACAAGACAAAGCATAAATACTGGAGGCTTATTGAACATAGAAGAAGCTTGGGTATGAGCCACTGATTTTTTCTATATATAACTTTTTATATATAACTTTTACCTTTCAATATTGCAGAATAATGACAATGCCATACTTATTAGCTTGTTTTGAAATATATAAAAACAAATTTTGATAAACTTAAGAATTTTTTTTGAATGAGCCAAAACCAAAAATAACATCTAGAGTCTTTCTCCATGGAGTGCTTGTATTAGGATTGTGAGGTTCTGGTGTCAGTAGTCCTTTGATTGTCGAGTTCCATTATCATGTGCAATCACTACTTCAAGCTAACTGATATGACGAAACAAAAGTATCGCAGTGGGACAAATGAGAAATTTTTTATAAGCAAAAGAGGCCACTTCTATGGGCCTATTCTATACTGACTAAGCTGGTCCTCAGTAAATCATAATTAAGAAACTCTCATTTTAGGCGTTTGTCTCTTCATCTCGTGATGTGTTTTAAAAATAGAAACCGAATTACTAAATCAAGCAATCAAGCCATCTTTACTGAGAATATGTGTCAGGCTTTGGATTTAAATTTTAAACGGACGCACACTAAAAATTCAGCTAAAACACAAGTGAAGATTATTCAAGTAATCTGGGTACAGACATCAAACAGCTACTATATGCTAAGAACTTAAAGATCAGCAGCCCCTAATTAGCTCCTTCAGTATTGATTCATAAATTCAACTTCATTCGAAAAACTTCAAGAAAATCCGGATTAATATATGCAGTATAGATAATTGCATCTTGAAAACAGAGTCTTCTTATATTAGTTATTTTTTTATTTTTTATGCTCCGAATCTGCAATTTTAGCGAGAATTTATGATATTTCAGTTCGACGTGTTTTGTTTTCGATGAACTGTGAGGATTGAGATTGCAAATTTCTTCCTCATTCGCAGCCACAAAAAAAGATTAGGGAGCTGTGAAACTGACACAAATTGCTTTGTCTTTCTACGAATAGGAAACTTTCACCTTTATCTTGCAACACCCGCTAGTTACACATTTGCTCAACATTCTATTAGCCATGCTGGAGTCAGAGCAAGGAGAAGTCTACACAGTGTTTAAAACCCGAAAGATTCTTTTCATATTTATCGCCACGTTATGTGGCTCCTTGGGCCCTCTTGCTGCAAACATTTTCTTGCCATCAATTGAGGTATTTCAGCATGTTTTCCATACGTCAAAACAAGCCATCAATGGAACAATTTCAATGTTTATGTTCGTGATTGCGTTTGCGCCTTTGTTCTTATCTCTATGGTCAGACAACTACGGTAGAAGGCCATTATTACTATCCTCGCTAAGTGTTTATTTGATAGCAAACATATTGATACTGACCTTGCCGCCAAACATTATTGCTTTCTATATTTTCAGAGCTTTTCAGGGATTCGGAGCTTCAAATCTCGCCGTTGGGGTTGGAGTAATCGCAGATATTTCTGAGCCAAAAAACAGGGCGAAGGCCATATCATACTACATGATAGGGCCGCAAATGGGGCCTGTGTTTGGTCCCATGCTTGGAATGGTCGGTGCCAGATTTTCATGGAGATACAATTTTATTATCTTGAGTATTTTTGGTGGAATATCTTTGATTCTTGTTTTTTTCTTTCTCCCAGAAACCTTGAGAACTATTGTCGGTAATGGCTCAGACTCGAGCCAAAAAATCATTGTTCCTTTTTCTTCGAGGAAAGCGAATGACTTGCAAGCAATCTTGAATAAGCCAAAACGCCCCGGCATCATGCTTTATCTCAGGCTTTGCATAAATCGCCCTGTTCTTCTCTGTGCTGTGAGTGGTGGACTAGCATTTTCGTGCTTCTATGCTGTAACTGTTAGTTTTTCTGAGGCACTTACTAATGTTTATGGCTTTGATGTTCTCCATGTATGCTTGGCTTACATTGCGCCTGGAGTAGCCTTAGTATTGGGCTCAATAATCTTTGGCATTTTGTCTGATTTGTTGCGAAAGCAAGATACCCTGAAATATGGAATCGAGTCACGGTTCAAGCTACAAATCGCCTGTTTGCTTCCTTTTCTTGGTGCAGTAATTTCCTTTGGGTGGGTAGTTCAAAGTAGTGGTCATTTTGCTTACGTGATATTGTTGACATTTTTAGTGGCATTTCTTGTGTCCGGGATACTCATCACAAACACTACCTACTTGAGTGAGCTTTCACGCAATCAGCCAGCTTCATATGTCGCGTTTGGTAATCTTATACGAAATATGGGTGCTGCTGTTTTTGTTGCTTGCGTTAACCCAATGACAAACAAAGTGGGGTATGGATGGGGCTTTACCATCTATGCACTGACATGTTCAGTGAGCTTCATCTTCTCAATTCTTGTCTTAATGTTTGGGTCTCATTGGCGTGAGGCTTTAAATCGTGATACAGAATCAGTTTCAGAAAAGGATTTCCAGTCAGCATCTTGAGGCTTTAAATGGCTGCATCTGAAAAAAATTGAGCACGTATATATTGAGGCTAATGATCAAAACGAAAGTCTAGTCTTTTGTTTCCCTGGTCTTCGGAATACTTTACGTAATTTTCTTGTTCTTGAAGAGACAAGGAGTTCCAGATTTTATCTCTACTTCTGTTTCTCCATATGTAATATCCCTTGGTTAAAAGAAGACATGGAATACAGATAGCCGTCAAAATGAAGAGATTTTTGTTACCTCTGTGGTATAGAGGTTTGTCGTCCTCCCTGTAGATGTTGTTGGCCACAATGTTGCCAAGCTGAACAAATACATTGTATAGAGCTGAGCAGATTGACCTACTTCGAATTGAATTTGAGTTTCTCGAGACCCATCCAACACAAATTGCATGAACATATGGAGCAGCCAAAACCATGGATACTAAAGCCCAAGTCGGCCATGCTTGGTGCATACTTCCAGGCCACCATCTCAAAGCTGCCATGAATGGAAGTGTGAAAATTGGCAATGAAAGACAAGTCAATGTTCTTTCATTCACCAGTTCTGAAAACCATGTAATTCCAATCAAGAGCAAAATGTGGATCATGTTTTGGGGAATATTCAACAAATTAACATCAAAAGTTGAAAATCCAAGCAGCAAGGTCAAAGTCATGTAAGGCTGCACAGTAGCCATTGGAATGTATACAAGAAACCCAATGATGTAGATTGGCCAAAGGTCATAATCTGAAAATGCGCTCCAAATCATTTTAACGGATAAAGCTTGTCTGTTGTTCATATCTCCTTTAGATGGATCATCTCTCAATACTCTATTGACCACGATTTTTTCTTCTCTTTCGGTAAACCAACCATTGGGGTTGAATGTGCTCTTTGTTTCGACAGCGGAAGGGACCATGCTATGAAATCCCCATAGGCCGATGAAGAAAGTTGCAACTCCCTCCACAATAAAAAGCCATCTCCAACCAGCCATATCACGAATTCCACGCATTCTGAGAAGACCGAATGCAAGAAGAGAAGTACATATCTGGGTGGCCGAATAAGCAGTCCAGAAGAATGAGAGGCAAATTGGTAGTTCCTTCGACTTATAAAAGTAGGAAATCCACAACACAAGATCAGCTATAAAGCCCCCTTCTAAAGCTCCAATAAGAACTCTTGTGATGTAGAATCCCGTTTTGTTCTTCATGGCAGCCTGTGAAATGGCAACTATGCTCCAGCATAGAATTTGAATAGGAATAAACCTGTCTGGTCCAATTGCTTTTGAAATAAGCTGGGAAGGGATTTCAGCTGGTAGGAAAGAAGCAAGAAATAAGTTATTTCCCAAATTATAGTCGTCAGTCGTTAGACCTAAATCATCTAAGAGATTGTCAGCCACCGCTTGAGCTAAATTCCCCCTATCAATCTGCAATGCAAAAAAAAGAACACAGCTAGTAAAAGTAACTCTCCAATTAAGCTTTCTGATAACTGTCTTTTCTTCTTTCTGGGTCCACTCAAAGTCCGGATCAAAAGCACTTCGGCACTCATACTCTCTTTTCTCGTAAATGCTTTTGTAGTGCTCGGCTACCACCGGGTCACTAAATGGGTTTGTCAGAAGTTTAAGCAGCTCATTGTCCGATTCTGAGATAGAGCACTCCGCAACATCAAATAGATCACTCTTCTTCGGCAATTGTCCTGAGCCACGCATGGCAGTGTTCTGTGATAAGCCAACAAATCCCATGATGAGTTTATAATTGTAGATAAATGAAATACACATATATACAATTACATTTATATATAGCTAGAGTTGAAGTCTCATGAATTTGAGTTGCGTATCCTGTTATGACATTGCATAATCAGCTGTGTTAATTGCGCGGTTTGATTACAAGGAATACGGACGCGTGTTTAACTGTCGCAGCCGCACTATATCGGGTCAAATAACAAAATTTTGGCTATATCGATTACCTTCTTCCAAAAATAGTTTTTGTTTAATTACCTGGAAAAAAAAATATATATATTTTTTCAATTCGGACATCCTTTTTTCTGGTTGTGGCAATTGAAGTTGTGGTGATTGGAGCTGTGGTAATTGGAGTTGTGGTGATTGGAGTTGTGGTGATTGGAGTTGTGGCGCGCGGTGACGATTGCGCTATCATGAGCCACAAATAATTACTCGCAATTCGGGTTTTCAAATTGTGCACATCATATAAACTTGACTCGGGAAAAAAGCCGAAGAAATACAAATTTGATTACAGCGAAGTCCGTCTCGGGCAGAAAGACCTAGCCGCAAAACTTGAAAGAACATTGGGCAGAAACTTTGAATGGGCCATCTTTGTCACAAGACCATACCATTATTCGAACCAGCACTTTGAAGTGCTTTTAAATACCTGCTCCTCATAAAAGAGTTCTTGATTTTATTGCTAATATTTGAAAACAAACACGAGCTCTTCTCGTTTACTTTTCATTGAATATCTGGAAAGCCTTCATTTACTGAGATATCTCTCAGGGCTATAAGAGTCATTCTGGCATGTACATTTATCCAGCAGCTTATCCCTTTTTGCATTTATTAAACAAAGAAAAACTGTACATAAATTTGGCGTTTCGTAAATTTCTTCGGGCTTCAATATTGTGAAATTGACATAGAAAAGAGTTATGTCACTCATGACAGAGCTGCGGTCATGAGTCCCAAAATCGCACGCTCTATGAACTGTAGAGATATGGGCCGCTTGATTAATAAGTACAGCGCATTTAATGCATAGACTTCAGTGATGTAATAGAGTGACATATTCATATCAGCATCTAGCCTGGGTGCATCCTGAGAGCTATCACTCTTTAAGGGCTGTTATCAGACAGGCTCTTACCATGTCTCAAATATTTTCTCAGTCCCTTAGTGGATAATTCGCTAGTAATGCCGGAGGGGTGGGACTGGATGACAAAATGACATCACAAATCGCCAAAGAGGAACTTGTGTATATTAAAACATCAAATTCTCACTACCGGAAATTTCTGGGTGTCTGAAATGGCAGGCACAATTTTCGCTTTGCTCTCAATACAGTTTGCATTCGCCGCAATCACAGACGGAATTAATGTACGCTTCGACAGAAACCTCGCTTGAATTGCACTTTTGATAAGGCGTGTCGCTTATATCTTAAAATTGCTCTTTTTGAAAATCTTTTTTATTTGAAACTCACTTATATTCGAAAGTCGGACGCTAAACTTTTCTAAATCATATTTTGAATCATTTATGTCACGTGAAGATACTGAATGCAGGACTGGTGGTGAGTCGACCAGGCTGAGGCGAAGAATTCTCATCCACCACAAAGGACTAAGTGCTCTTTTCTGGTCACGGTTACCGGGGGTTTATTTAAAGACACAGGTAGCCTTTTTCAAAAAAAAACATCTGATTGAAGGATCAAGACTTTATATTACTATGTGTTTGACGTAATGCAAAATAAATTGCTTTACTGAAAATTATGCATGAGAACGCTTCACTGGTTAAGACCGCGATAAATGAAGGAAACGTGATCAAAGAACCTCTCACTTCGGTTATGAGATCATATCCGTTCTAGAAGCGCATGTTATTATTGTCAGCAGATATGGTTTTTTTTGCGCTTCGCGGCGCTAGACTCCGAAAACGGCCCAGGATGGTGCGGAATTAAGTTACCGAAAAAATGCGCGCGGCTAATACCCCATTTGGGCGATGCGCTCATTGGGGAAGCTCAGCTTATCAACAGTCTTCACCTATATAAGTAAGACTGAACACGCATCTTCTCTTCAAACCCCAAAAAAGATGTCACCTGCCCCCAAAATTACCGACAAATCAGACCCTAAACCACAGAACTTATCCGAAAGGGGCTCGCACAATATCGCAAGGGGCATGCCCCATCCTTACCCACTTCCTAAATTCGATGACAAGTACGAGGAGCGCAAATGGGCAAAACAACATATGGCCGGAGCTTTCCGTGTTTTCGCAAGAAAGGGATATACTGAGGGCACTGCTGGACATATTTCTTTGAGAGACCCGGTTGATCCAGACACTTTTTGGATCAACCCCTTGGCAAAGCATTTCGGCTTGATCAAGGCTAGTGATTTGGTACACTGTGACGAAGCAGGAAATGTGTTGGCCGATGGCCCACAAACTGCCATTAATGCAGCTGGCTTTGCGATTCACTCGGCTGTACACAAGGCGAGACCAGACGTGATTTCCGCGTGCCACACGCACTCCACATACGGCAAAGCCTTCTCTGCTTTAGGAAGACCTTTGGATATGATCAGCCAAGACGTTTGTACGTTCTACAGAAGCCATAGCGTGTATACTGATTTTGGTGGAGTAGCCATTGATGAGGAAGAAGGTATTGCCATCGCGAGTGCTCTTGGAGATGGAAAGGGCGTCATTTTGCAAAACCATGGGCTCTTAACCGTGGGAGCCACCGTTGATGAGGCAGCATATCTCTTTACATTGATGGAGAAAAGTTGCGAGTGCCAATTGTTGGCAGACGCTGCGTTGAGGCCAGGAGAAAAGATGAAGTTATGTGGGGATGAAGAAGCTGCCTACACTGAGCACATGTCCGGCGACCCAGAAACACTCTATACAGAGTTTCAGCCGGACTTCGAGATGGAGCTATATCATAATAGTGACTTCTTGCAATAAGCTGGCTTTGTATTTGTGGCTTTGAAAATCTGCTTGACATCACGCAACCTGGCCTCTGTATTTGAAAGACAATAGGGAACTCACCTTTTTCGCTCGCGTCATGCCAGTTGTATTTTAAACGCGTCGAGAGAAACCGACTTTCTTGATTGGAGAATCAGTATAAAAAATATCGCAATTGCCAGCCACGCGTGAGGTACTCTGGAAAAGCTGGATTTGCTTGATGATATCGAGTGATTATATCTAAAGCCACATAGATAAGGGCTCTGAACCGCTTCTTACAATACTTTGTGTGCATGGGTGAGTGTTTGATTTAATAAGTATATCTAGAGAGTTGTGCTTGGATAAAATACAGCTCATTGATATATAGTTATACTATTGGTAGAAATCATACCTGGAATTCGGATTAGCGGCCAATTTTGTTCACAAACGACGCAACTAACTATTGTCTGTACAATTTAACAACGAACAAAAAATTCACATATCGGCGAGATTTTCTCTTGGTCATAGATTATTCTCGAGGTCTTGGTATTTCTAAATCGATATAAAAAATTTCTGCAGATTCAGCGTTTTTCATTCGAACAAACTAGTTCGAATTGGAACAGAATGTGAATTAACCTCTTCTCTCCATGTGGTTATTTGCAATTTCTAAAAGATTGGCGGGTGGTTTTAAATTTAACCTATGTATTGCGTAATTTCATTATTTCTTTTCTTCATTCTCTCTTGGCTGTTCCATGATTAACTGATATCTTAGAAAGATTTGGAACGAATGGTTTGACCATCTCTAGACGCTAGACCATGATAAGCCCCGTAGCTCTAATTTAACACACGCCATCTAACATCGCAGATCCATATTACCATACTCAGTGAGCAATGAAACTGGACCTTTTTCGGGTCCTGTACAAATCAATGACAGAAAAACTCAATCAATCTATACTTGCCAACTAGCGTATTGGCTGTTGCTCACAGCAGTGTAAACAAAACTAGGACTGGCTGCAATATCCAAGGCTTCAGACTAAATGTCCGATGCGCGTTTCACGTAGGTCAATTTTAGCAGATGGTGGGGGATGAGCACCGGTCGCCAACGAAATTATACAGGTAGAACAATCAAACAGTTCGCCATTTCCCCTCAAGGATGGCATTCCCGAGTTCTAGAATAATACCTAGGAATTTTCATCGTGGCCTGGTTCGCTCTCCTCACGCACCATCCTATAAAAATACTTGAATTCATCCTGTGAAGCCTCTGGGCCCGGATTATATTCGCGAATTGATCCTGGTGCTTCTAATTTCGCAACATTGGGGCGAGCCGGAAATTTCCAATTTATTCTTTTTGAAAATAACAGGGAGAGCGCTTCACAACACTGAGGCTGAGCATTCTTGTATATCGCATGAAACTGGAAAATTCACGAGAAAAAAAAAAACATATCAGAGATGTAGCAAATGAGCTTGATGCATGAAGATTCAGACGATAGTAGTGACCTTTGCACGTTCCTTCTTCGCTTTGAGAAAATTCTTCGGCTTTCTCAAACGTCCAGCAATCATACCCTCACACAATCTTCCTGCAGACAGTTTTCCCTCTTGTCTATCTCGGCTTATCTCATATAAATTGAGGATTTCGATATACCAGTGGGCAGAAACCGTGTCATGTGGCGAAGAAACTTTCACTTAATCTGGTGCCCCGCCTCACGCGTGTTCCGGTGATATTTTTTGGCCTCGAAAAAAGTCATGTACCCCTTGTAGCTTGAAATTCCCAAATTCATAATTCCGTGGAGTATGATGGAGCCTGTTGGTCCACAGCAAAAATCGTGTCCTTCTGATACTCACCCTTCCCCCTTGCCATATTACGTCGAGTTGTAGTCATTCATCACCCTGCATGTTCATCGTCTCTCCTTTCTTTTTTAAATTGGATTAAGGATTCGCACATCTCTCCAGATCGTGCGTTGCCCGAAACTTAGTTATTGTGGCTCGCCTGTGACACTAAGCGCATTAAACAATTATGCGATTCGGGTAACGATGGCTTGAATATTCTATCCTTCTTTCAATAGTCCAGCGAGCTTGAGACATATACTACATTAGTGTGCAGAAAATACATTCAAGAATCCCCTTAAACGGGTGTTTTGTCGAAAGAAAGTTGCTTGAATTCTGTTTCTTTTAGAACATAGTTTATGAAGTAGTAGTTCCCAACCCGAGTCTTGCATGTAATTTAATTATGAACCGTGACTCTAAAAAACATCTACGCCTAAATTATGAGCGTATTCACCCTACATACACAAATTCGCGGAGAGTATTTTGGTAAGCTGGTTGATGAAGGCCCCATTTTCTTGTACCCTAGGTGAATGTTATTGCCGAAACTAAACCAACAACTTTGCAGGCCATGACAAGCGATGATTTCTCTTGGGAGCGTGTTCAACCGCTAAATTAAGGGTAACTTAGTATCATCATGAGTCGCGAAATATGACTTACATTGGGTCAACTCCATCCACCGCGCACTAGTGAACTAGTTCAGGACTGCACGTTCCTCTTCAGAATGTAGGTGGAAAGATGATACGAAGACGGCGTTTGCTCGAAAGCCGGCACAGTTTCTCATCTATCATCAAAATCAGACCACCAGCATACTAATTCAGGAAGTACAACCCCCGAACTGAGAACCTTATAAACGTACAATGTAATTTCTTCACATTAAGGTTCAAGCCCATAAGAGAGATCATGATCCTGTATGTATAAAACAATACCTGAATTCAAGTAAATTATCGAAGAAATCGGCATATAAAATTTAAAGCGGTTCTGAATTTCGGGCCTATTCTTTTGAGCTGCATGTACAGCTCGTAATTGACCATGGGCTCAAGAAAGCATTTCCCGTGAAATTTTTTGTAAAAAATTTCTTTCACACGTCATATGAAAAAGGCTCCTAGCATTGGACAGACAGAGGGGAAAGGCAGTTTATTCCTTTATAGAAAAAGAGATATAAGAATTAGCTTTGGCCTCGAAGAATATTCTTATCTCGAGGTATTATATGCGCGTTGCCCTCTACTCAATTTTGTACACATGCCTGAAAGTTCTTTTGCTTGGCCAAGAGCAACAATAACCGGTCATAAACTTTAATTCGCGTTCTACAGCTACTGAAGTTTAAATAGCAAGGGAAATCAGACCATACGAAAGGAGCATGTATAGTCATGAAACCACATGCAAAGAATGTGACAGAAAATAGGTGGCATTTACATGGTCGCCAGATAGAGCTCAAAATGACTTCTTTATGCACCAGGCGAAAGTTTAGGCAAATCACGTAAGTCTGGAGGAAATCTTGGAAACTCAAATAGACTCCTGCACATTCCTTGTACCGGATTAGACTGTATATGAGTACATGCAGCGAAGGGGACTGAAAAGTCTTGAAGTCATTTCAATTAAAAAATTCCCAATGCATTTATGCAGCTCGTGGTGGAGAACCGACCAACGGCTATATATGGGGTGTTTGGCTACGTTCTGACCACCTTATTTGTACTATATTTTCCCGCACAGCTTTTTTGCCATGCAAGTAGGGATTCGCGCGCTGGTCGTTGCACTCTGGTTTTTACTCGCCCTGGTATTTGCAGTGACCATAACTGAAAACACTGTTCAGATTTCCACGATCGATATAACATTGGGCGACCTCACAATCAATGCGGGGGTTTACTATTCTATTGTTAACAGTGCTCTTGTGACTTTGGCAGGAAGTGTTACCAATGCTGGTGGCTTCTATGTTACAAGTGCCAATGGGCTAGCCGCTTCCGTGGTGATGACTGGTAGTTCTTTCGTGAACTCTGGAACTTGTGCTTTCAACTCCTTATCCGCCACCGTCCTCTCCACATATGATATTGCTACTCTTGGCTCTTTCCTGAATACAGGTGATATGTATTTTGGTATATCCGGTGCTACCATTGTAGGAACGCCATTCATTGTCACTTCAGTAACATCGTGGTCGAATGACGGAATGATGGTTTTCCGAAGAGCCTCTGGAGATAGCGCTTTGTTAGTAATAGAGCAAGTGGTTGGATCTGGGGGACTCTCAACTATTCTGAACGATGGTTCGATCTGTTTGTACAACACTTACTGGTTACAAACCACCAGTATTGTTGGAAGTGGTTGTATCACCGTAGGTTCGGGTTCGGAGATGCAATTGCAGTTGTCCGTGGGCACTCTCTTGTTTTCAGTGGCAGAAAGCCAAACCATCTACCTAGCATCTTCCGACTCTGTATTGAGCATTCTCGGCTTGAGCCTATCTTTGTTACCTGACAACACCATAACCGTTGCAGGCTTTGGAAATGGAAACAAAATTGAACTTGACATTCTATTCCTTTCCTACACATATTCCTCGACAACAGGAATATTGCGACTCACTTTAGCCATCTTGCTTTCAGTGGAAATATACATTGGACCAGGGTACAACAGCCTTTACTTCAGCACGGCTAGTACCTTACTCAGCAAGAGTATAAGCTACAGTCGCTCGCCGCCCAATGCGGCTCCCGCCATTTGCGCATGCTCCTACAACTTCCCAGAGGTCACAACCACTGCCCTATCCTCATCTACATCCACAACCGTCTCTACATCGGCAACATCATCCGAACCCGACCCTACGCCATCTGAAACAACTGACTTTGTCGGAACGACTTATACGACGACTTTTGAGTCGGTTAACTCCGATGGGTCGGTTGAGACGGCAAGTGGAGTTGTGATTGTGAATACCGATTCAGCTGGAGTGGTGACGACAACTACGTCGATCATTCCTCCAACGGTTTCAATTTCTTCCACTGCTCCGCCAGTCTCTTCATCAGCTACGCCAGTGTCTTCATCAGCTCCGCCAGTGTCTTCATCAGCAGTGCCAGCGTCTTCATCGGCTCCGCCAATCCCATCTTCTGAGTTCATCGGAACGACTTATACGACGACTTTTGAATCTGTTAACTCCGATGGGTCTGTTGAGACGGCAAGTGGAGTTGTGATTGTGAATACCGATTCAGCTGGAGTGGTGACGACAACTACGTCGATCACTTCC